ATGTTTAGACATGCTGGTTTGTTCTGTGTAGTTGATGTTTTTTAAAAAGAATTAAATTATATTAAAATCAGAAGTTAGAAACAATTGGTTAATTGTATATTAGGACATTATAGAATATCTTTTATAGAACAATTCCATATCCAGTATAAGGTTTGTTTAGTCTTATAGGGAGCATCTTCACTTTAAAAATGTTCTATTTAAAATTTCTTTAATCTATCTGATATATTTCAACATGTAAATCTCTGATTAAACATCATGCATATCTAGTAATAAATAATAATTGATTATGAAAACTTCAATTCAAAATTTTAACGATGAATGGAAGAGTTTCGTTTAATTTCTGTTTTTTTATATTAGCATAGTATCGCATACACGACATTGGCTTATTGGTGAACGCTGATCATCAATATAATATGCATACAATCTTTCATGAATATTGTAAAAAAATCATGATCTTATTATTCACAGCCATAGTTGGCTGAATAACTTTTGAAGAAGTTAAGGATAGTCATCCACACCCGGATTAATGATTTCTACGCTACTGGCTTTCGTTTTATAGTTTGAAAAAAAGAGAGAGAGTCTAACTCGTTTCTTTTCTCAGATACTACATATATGTCAATCATCTATCATTGTTTATTTCTTGTAAGAGTTAGGGTAACGATGAATCTACTCGTCAAATACTATAAACAATGAAGAAGATACAATATATAAATTCGCTATTTACTTATTATATTAAGCAGGAGTATCATACGTATGTCTATCATATAAGTACAGCGATCTGAATTATTAGCTATTATTGAGACAATCTTGCAAGAATAATTCGGAGTTTTATTTAAAAAATTTAACAGACTAGATCAATTAGATGAGCTATCAATGTTCGTTGTTGACAACAAAAAAATGATAAAACCACAAGAATTCATTGCACCAATTACGAGATATAAATCTGTTCGCATTGTAAGTAATGGTAGAGCATCTTTTTTCTTTGAACAATACGTACATATAATAAATAAAATAGCTACAATTGATCGCAATTTCATCTGATATATTCATATTAACTTTGCTATTGATAGTTGTTGAAATTCTGTTTTGCGTATGGTCAGAGGTATCCTCTTCAGGTCTCTACGGAGACGGGGATAATTTATCATATTGATGGCGAAGCTATAATTTTTTTCACGAAGCAGTTCTTTCAAAACTGATTTAGGTTGATATGGTACCGTAAGTTATTCATCAGTAAAGAAAATTGATTATGAACTAGAGAATGTAATTTTAAAATATCATGTTCAATTTCGAACCCACCCAGTATTAGTTGATCGATTACTGCACGATTGAAATAGTTTTAATGCAGATATTGGCATAGTTCAACGAAGTAACTATCAGAAAGATTGATATTAGCTTTTGTTTCAAATGGTATTTTATCATGATCATCAATCCAAAATTGTAAGCCGCTTCCTTCAGAAGACAGTTTCAAAACTTTTTGCTCCTAGTTTTTAATTAGAAACTTGTTTAGTTTTCCTGATTTGCTGCATGTGATATGGATCTGTGCTGCTTTATAAGTTCTTTATAAAATTGACATGAGTATTCTCTACGATAGTTCGTCCAAGCATATAACTGTTGGTTCTACAGTTCCACCGGTCATAATTAAGATGAATATGAGTATATGTGAGTTTCGGACAACTTTTTGTATAATAATTGATCGAAATTGATCTTTTTTTTCCTTGTTTGAGTCAGGAAAAGGATGTGCAAATAATAATTTATAATTGCAAGCATTTTGATCACCATTTAGAATGTGACATAGTTTTATGTTATATAATAATGGTTTCGTTAGCCTTTTGAGCAAGTAGATTAACTTCATAAAGCAATTATTCTAGATCACAGGAGCAAATTTTTGTGGCCAATTGAGTTACTTGCCTCGACACACAACAATGACGATGCTTTAAATCTGAATCATAACACAATTAATACAATTGCTTTCTGTTTCGTTAAATTTATTTAAAACCAGTCGGTCATTCTGCTCTAATCTTCGTTATTTAATATATCTTATTATTGATAATTTGGTATGATTATTTAACGAACAAAAACTGATGACACGGGGATCTATGACTTGCACCATTTAATGCACTGTTCAGTTGAAGTAAGATTGGTCACTGGTTAACAAATTTGCTAATTATCATTTTGTTCAACTCTATAGAACGTATCCGCATCACTATATTAATAGAGTTACATTTTGATATTATTTCATTTATTTCCGATGACGTTTTGGATAATTATAATTTTCGAACGAAATGATACAGCGATGTTGTATAATCGTAAGAAGATGTTTCGCATCGCTATTTTATTAAGCAAACATATCACATTAGCCACATTCTTTTTACTATTGTATAATGTTTCGAAAAGATCGACTATTTACTAGCTGTTAGCCACAGAAAATTATTGCTTTATTAGTTTAAAAGACCGAATATTTTTATAACTATTCCTTAGGTCGGAATTCATTTGAATGTAGTACATAAGAGAAGATGCATAAGAAAATATGAAATAGAATATCATGGATATATAGAGATATATGAAAACGAAAATGAACGCACATGAACATATTTAATAAAAAAAACCCACACACATCTACGCATAACAAAACAACGAGACAAGATATAGATAAATGCGTATATGTAATGACGTCATAACAATGATAGAAAAAAGAAAGATGCTCTACATATGACAATATTGCTTAATAGCCTTTCAACTTCTTTATTTGTGTGAGTCAAAGATTTATTTAATCTACTTTAGCGCATTAATATGTGTATGAAGGTTGTCTAATCTATAGCATGAGTCTCAGTTGACATTGAAAATACATTTCACAACTACCAATAGATTATTTCAAAGAATAATTCATCAAAGAGATAAACAGTTGCATTAGAAAGAAGACTAGTATTTGTTATTTGTAAAAAACAAAGATCTAATCTACATTGTATCTTGTTCATTCTCTATAATATTTTACGAGAAAATTCATGATTATCATAACACTTACACGAAATAAAAAATGATACATGATTAACATGTGTAGTATTTGAGAAAACAAAGAGTTAGACGCTCTCTCTTTTTCAGACTATAAAACGAAAGCAGTAAAACCATTAATACCGGTGGTATTTAACAAAGTTCTTATAAAATAGAGTGTTTTAAAACTGTCTCTTGTGAATCTTTTTCAAGATACGATTTAGATAAAAAGAGAATATTGCTCCAGATAAGATCTTATTCATTTTTGTGACTATGACTATATCTTTTGATAAATTCTTTTATTAGATATATATCACCGTCGAATAAGTTTTGATCAATATATTTCTATATTTGCTCATATTCTAACACATTTATCAATGTCAAAACTATAAGAATAATGATGGACGATTTCAAGCAAACGACATAAATAGTTGTATATTGCACTATATGACTGACATTTCACAATAGTTTTCCAGAATAAATAAATGTGATATATTAAATCAACCAGAGTTTTAAAAATTAGTATGAGAGAAATAAAAAGAAAAAATTAATATTTAATAATAAATATTATATAAACGGCGTCGTATGAAAGAACGGATTTTATTACTAATCGATCAATATAGGTTAGATAACAAAGAAAATATTGATAACATGCCTGAAAGCATATTATTAAGCACTTGTAAACATTTAGTAATAATAATGAGTTTCCTTTTTCTTCTCATTCATTGTTAGTTCTTTTGAAAATTATAGTTCACTTTGTCTAACTAATAGAGAAATTATTCTATAAATCTAGATTTTATACATGAAATCAATTAAAAATTCTGAGAAGCAATTTTTTTTTAATGAAGATGCACTTTAGTAGAATCTTGATAATATCTGAAGAATGGATGTGTTTTGTTATTTTTCTGAAACTTAATCGATACGTTAGAAAAACTCTCTTTGCTGTGTTATAATTTAGTAAGAAGCTACACAAGCTGTTTTATCATTTCTCCTGAGACTCATCAAAGATTTTTATTGTATTCTTTTTGCTTGGTTAATAATGCGATAAAATGGCACATTGACATTTCTTTAATATTTTATTCGTGCTTTGATACAATTTATTAGTTATAATCATTTTAATTCGTAATAATATGAGAGAAAAAAAGACGTTTTAACTGGTGATACCTCCAAGAAGATTCTTCTTAACAAATTAGTGATTAGTTTAAAACTTTTTTTTACATTCATAAATATTAAAGATAAGATACAGATTGAATGAGAGAAATTAGTTTTATATCAAAAAAACAACCTTCTCAAGATGTAATTAGATGTGTCAACAATTCAAAAGCTTCTGGAAGACAAAAGTATGTTTTCATACAAATATAGAATAGTAAAAAAGGAACTTTTTGTTTTTATTCAAAAATTTATAATAATATAATTTAACAACAAATCATTCAAAAACAGGATCTAAGATATATATATATATCGAATTGCTTATTTTTTATTAACACATGAATGAACTGAACTAAATAAGCTGAAAAGTACTGATCTCTCTCTTTTTCCTTATATAAAAACCATACGTATCTATTTATCTGTAATATTTTTTTATTTTATCCAGAATAATCGACGATGACAAAACTAAGAATGACATATGCAGGCTTCTGACATCAACACGCACATGCATGTTTATATCTCAATAGATCGTATACACGTCTTTACACAGCAAAACTATGTAGTGTTTCTCACACATACAAATGCATTATGCTCTTTTTCTCTTTACTTTCATCTTTCCCTCAGGATGCCGGCCGCACGCACGCACGCACTTCTTTTCCTTCGCCTCTGCTTGCTTTATATGGCTCACTCGCTCGAGAATCACATTACGTTTTTTCTAATAGAAAATATTAATGAACATTTCTTTGCATCGTCGTCAACATTGTCGTCCTCATCATCGCTTCTGTTGTTTCACCTTATCTATACAACATCTGCTCTTGCGAGACAACTTTTAGTTTATAAGCACTGATGTTAGTTTTTGTTTCATGGTGACTTTACTCACAATTGAAGTTTTATCAATTATTGCTACAGCACTAACGAATCTTGTTGGTATATTAGCTTTTGCAACTGATCATTGGTCAATAGTTGTTTATGACTTTAGCAAATTACATGCACATATAAAATGGGTTGTTGTTGAAAATACAACGAATGGTAGTGCATATATGATAAATAATACGGATGATGGAAATCATACAGGAATATTATCATTTAATAAACAACAATTAGAAACAACTGTATTCGGTATGAAAAATGGTACAACATTATATAAAACTCACAAAGGTGTATTTCGTCAATGTAATTATTTATCTCAAAATGTTCGTGAATATTTAAAACTAACGAAATGCCGTGTCTTAAAAGTAGCAAATAATCAATATGATGATGTTCTTCATGGAATGAATAATCCTGGACGAGAATTAATACGTAAATCTATATTTAGGTCTTCTTTTCTTTAGAAAAAGTTTTATAGAAAAGATGACTATAAGAAAAAGTGTTAGTCAGAAAAAAAAATAAGAAAAAAAAAGTATTATAAAATTCTTTTCATAGAGTAAGATATTCATATGATCTTGTTAACATTTCTAAATTACATGTTATTTTCTGCGTGAAATTGAGAGTGTCAATTATAAAGACTCGTCATAGCCTAACTTTTTAAAATTGATTGTATCAAATGTAAAAGATTTCGTTAAGCCTACTCACGCAAAAATGTTCTGTAATTAGAGTTTTTTTTATTTACTTATTGAATAAGCTAATAATGACATAAGCATGGTCTGTTCATTTGAAGAAAAAAGTACATTAAAAAAAAAGAAATTAAATAGAAAGGTAATGAACATCTGTCGTTCTTTTTAAAAATCTGAATAGAATTATATAACAATTATTTTACACCTTTGAGTTATAAATCCTTCTGAATAAATATAGATTTTTGATAATAAATAAAAGCAAAATATTATCATATCGATATAATTACTTTAAATCAAAGTAGAGTAAGGAAAAACGTTTTATGTCGAGTTCGTTTATAAAAATTTTAAATGGATTCTATTAATAATTTCCACTCAATTAACGACTATATAGACAGGAAAAGAAGATGTCTCTTATATATAAAATGTAGAACTAACTTTAAAATGCACTAAAAATTTATGGAAAAAAAAGTAAAGTTAAGAAATCAAAAAGTTTAAATTTTCTAACAGGCAGAGTGTAAAAACCTATCTGATACTAAAATTTGAATACTATATAAGTTATATACAAGGGAAATCTCGTTCATTAAGACTGACATAATTATAGTTCTGTTTTATAAATAAAAGGATGTAGTTCTATTTATTTTTTTAAATTATTCATATATTAGTTTCTAGCTACGTCAATAAAAAAAACTATTAATTTTCTTATTTTACATTGAAGGTCATACTAGCGTCTTTAAAGAATGAATATAAATATTTTACATACATAGCAATACTTTATTCAACGATTTCTTTTTCATACATGATACTCATAAAAATTAATGTAAATACATTTCTCATTAAATATTAGGATATTTGTTCTAAAAAAAAAAGATTTTTTTCTCTCATACTGTTTGGTAATCAAAGTCTGAAGAGAAATTATTTTAATGATATTTTTTTACTATTATTACAATCATCAGAGAGATCAAGGTTAAAAGATATTGTATAAGATGTAAATTTGTCAAGTAAAAAGAAATTGAAGACTTATAGAATAGCATAATTATTATAAAAATATATCAGTCATAATAACAGACAGAATTACAAAACAATAAATTTTATTTAAATATTTTAGGTCTACACAATGTGGCAGCTGCATGTGCTATTTTGATTGTACTTCTTTTATGCGCTTGTACATTAGTTGGTGTTTCCGTAGGCATTCTTAATAGTGTTGTTTTAGCAACAATGACTATTGGAATTATCTATCTTGTTACTAGTAAGTAAAATCAATAGATTAATTTGATATTTCCTTCCTACTTTTTCTTTCCCACTAATGGTACTAAGTGATATTCCAGAATATGGAAATAATTAGATCTCTAACAAAGGTTTATCAAGCCTTGTAAATTAACTTCCTAACCTCTGGGGTATTTTCTTTCATATTAATTCATTTAATAGAAGAAAATGAATAAATTCTATAATGATTTGTCATGTTAAAAAATGACAAAAATATTATCGATCGATTAATGCTTTTATTTTCTTTAGCTATGTTCAGTGTATGTCTTTTGGCTATTATGCATACTGTATTAAAAAGTGAACGTAAACAATCGCATTGCTTTGCTTTGGAAATTCTTACTGATGATTTGTGTAAAGCTCGAACTATACAATCATCTTACTCATTTGCATTAGGTTGTTTACTTATTATTCTTTGTTTTATAACATCGGTATTATGGTTATCATTGCAAGAAAAACAGCGAAAATTTGCACAACACTGATATCCAGTAAATATAACGAAACAAACGAAATAAAGAAAAGAAACTAAAAGCAAAAAATTGATGTGCATTTGGTGCTAATTTTGTACTCATAAATGAATAAATATATATATATGACTAAGATTTATTTTCTTTTGTTTTTATTAATATTTTATTAATTTTTGCAAAAGCCGACTTCATCATATATGCGAGAAATTATTAATTGTTTTATTTGAATTTTTAAAATTATATTCTGTATCTATTATTATAATAAAACGAATGAGTAGATATGCAATAAGGAATACCTTGATTATTATTAATACAAAAAAATATTTATTATTATTGATCATTAAAATAGGTCAAAAAATTAAGGAAGAATATTGAGAAAAATGATTCATTATTTTATGCTAAGTATCAAGACCATGTTAAGTACTACGGAATAATTTCATTTGAATGATTATGACATGCAAAAAGAAAAGAAATTCGCAAAAGCAAATGCAAATGATAAGGATCTATGAAGGATTTGAGTGTTTTGACAATACGAGAGAAAAGAAAAAGAACCGATTCGATGCACAGTGACAATAACCCATGAGAAATATCGACATGCGCTTTCCAGAAATGGAATTTGGCACTGGTAGTAACGATATTAGCTTTTTTTTTTCTTTTTTTCCTTTATCAGAACGAACGACGAAAGAAAAACAACAAAAAATAAATTGATTTTTTTTCTCTTCTTTGCTCGCCTATCAGTATACGTCAGTAGGTTGAGTCGCCGTTGTCGTCGATGTCGACAACAGCAAAAAAAGAGGAGAAAACGAGCCATGTCTCTGGCGATGCATGCGTTTTACGTCGAGCGCGACAATTAGGTAATCGCAACAACACTGCCTACTTCTACGTCTTGGATGTCGCTGTTGTCTCGCTTTTTTTTCCCTTTCTTTCTTTCTTTTTCTCTTTCTTTTCTTCTTTTTCTGTTTCTTCACGCTAATGTATCGGGGTATATAGAATGATGAACTTTTCTCTCGTTTTTTCTCTCGCCTTTACTGTCTTTCTACTCGGTTTACTGCATCCCAATACAAAATATTCTCTTTTCTTTTTTTCTTTCCTTCTATTTACGTTCGTTCTTTTTCGTCTTACGCACAATTCTCTTTCTCTCGCTCGCTCTCTCTCTCTCTCTCCTTCCTTCTATACACATATCATGATCTCTTCGACGCTGACGACAGTAAACTCCATATAAATAATCTTTCGCTTTTTACGAGATGTTCGTTTCCTCTTGCTGTATTCATCAGTAAAATTTTATTTTATTTCATATGCAGGTATGTGTCATCATGTGATTAAAAATTTTTTTGTATAGAGACATCCTTGCGGAGGCACATGTGTATGTCTGAGAAAAAAAGAAAAGAAATCCTTGTTCCAATGTACAAAAGGATCAAATTTTTATTCGATACACCTGAGCCATTAACTATCAATATTATAGAAAGACGTCATCAGCAAATCATCATATTTGTCCTTCGAAATTGTAAACCTATCGATGTCTATGTACATGCATACATTGCTCTTTGTCACTCATACAACGATCTATTTCCTTTTTCATCATCATTTGTCATCCATTCCGAGTTCGTTTGTTCACCATTATTTTGTTCACCTTGTCTCATTTATTTCAGTACCTATAAATTATTCATGTAATATCGATGTCTTATCGATATAAACGTCAAATTGGCATTAAAAAATGAGTGTAACCAATCGTATAAGAATACATCTAGTTATATGTACATTTCATTTATATTTATATGTATATATATATATATATATGAAAAGGGGGCAAGTATCACATTAATAAATGTGTGCACAACTCATCAGTAACAAAACTATTCGATATATATATATATATGAGTGTGTCAAGGATAAAACGCTTGTTCCTTCGTCAACAGATACATTATTAATGTTGAGGACAGAAATTTGTTTTTTTCAATGTGCGAAAGATGAAGTATAAATGAATAGACCTCTCATCTATTATACAGTCGTCAGAATCGATAGAATAGATAAAGCGTATTGTTATTTTTGAATGATAGCCACAATTAGTAATTATAGTTATATACACGAAAAAAAGAAAAATAAGGGTTGAAGAAAGCATTTTTGTGTCGAACATTAATGGCCTATAGAAAAAAACAAGTTACAAAATGTTTTTTTTCGCTTCTAAACATGTCATTGCGTTTGAATTTAGAGGTGAATTTTTCGCTTTTTTTTTTGTTATTGTTATTTGTTGACATAACATACGCATATGTTTTACATTGAGTTACTCACCGATTTATTTTTTAATTCATAATCTCCTTCATCGATGCGTTATGTCTTCTTGCTACGATAGATTCGTAAGAGAGCTCCTGTCTTGCCTATTATATACATATAGTGAAGTAAAAAAATTTGTACTGTTAAATAGTTGTAAGCATTTTATTAGTAGTTTTTTTTCTTCGGGTTATAAAAGCATATTATTTGTTCTTGATGAACCTTGTAATGATCATAACCTACGTTCTTTTTTCTTCATCAGCGATGACGAGAATTCTGATTGAACAGAAAGTTATGTGCTCTTGGGGCCTATGCTAAGGCACGCACACGCGCATGTCCATTTTTGCATTTATACTTATGTATAGAACTACAAATGAAATGATAATAGTAGTAGCTGAAGTAAACGTATAAAATGTCTCTCGAGAAGTAGATGAGCATTACGAATGTACCCCAGGTAGAATAGCTTATCTCTTGAAATCTGATATATATATATATATATACTTGTAAGTCAATTATGAGAGTTTGATGCAGGAGAAACCTTGAAAAATATGCATACCCAGGCAGTAAATTTTCTGTACATACATATTTGTACAATAGATCTCTTATTCTCTTTTATATATACATACGTACACACACATTTATTGTTCAGCTTTTTCTTGCAAGCGTCGACGACCTTTTGTCCTTTTTTTTTGTTCACTTTCTTTTCTTTCTCATGCCGGTGTGTTTTTCGATCTATATATTCTCAGCTATGTGTATGTGTGTGTGTGTTGATTTGATGGTGCACTATATATATGTATGTATATAGACCACGACATGACGAAAAGGAGAAGAGAGTGAGAGAAGCCACCAGCAGTAGTAACAGCAACAGAGCGAACAAGTAAGAAGAATAAATGTACAATGCAGGGGCCAGACTAATGGGTATACACATATGTATATATATATATATAGTGAGAGAGAGAAGAAGAAGAAACATTTATTCTGAATTTTCTTTTTTTTTCGTTCTTTCACTGAACAATGACTAGCAGATTGTAGTAGTAGCACCTTACCATATTGTATAGGATAAAAGTGAACTTTTGTCTTCTTTTTTCAATTAGAATAATGATCAAAAGTTTATTTATCGTTTTGGCCTTGTTAACTCTTTATATATGAGTATCAATTCGATTTATTCTCATCGAAATGGCTTACTGATAGTTTGATTGATTGATTGATTAACAAAGTTACCCTTTTTGTTCGCCGATGTGTGATGATGGCAGCAGCCGGTTTTGATTTTTTTTATGTATATATTGTATGTGCGCGTTAGTCAAAGATAGATTAGAGAGCGAAGGTTGATGATAATAATCTTTGGCAAAGACTTGAGATGATAAATGAGGTAGTACTATAGTAAACAAACAATAACTGCTGAGCATTTATTAGTGTATAAACCTTGTAAATTCTGACATTCTATAGGTCATAGTTTTTTTTTATTTTCTTTAGTGTTTTTCTCTATTGGTAAGTAAACGTTCTATTGGGATTCTTTTTTCTTATAGAAAGAATATATATTCTTTTATACATGTAATAAATATGATTAGATATTGGTTATTCATTGGAGATTTAAAATGAGCTTCAAGAGTTATACGACTTTCTTTATTTAATATTATGAATGACCAATACATTATATATGCCGTAAATTGTGATTCTTGTGTTAAGAGAGTAAAAAGATTCCACTTGAACATTTCTTTTCTTCTCTTTACCATTTATGTAACTGACCAAAAAAAAACCTAGAAGAAAGAAATCAAATATATACCATTCATTTTCTTTTTTTCTTTTCATTGACCGTTTAAAATGTGAAAACGATAGTTGTTCGATAGATGTATAGAGATGAACGTGAATTCTATAAGAACTAATCTTTAGATATTCTTGAATAAGTCATACTTTTTAAAAAATCATTATTTTTTCATTCTATTCTTTGACATTCATAGGTAATAGCTTTCATAAAAAGAATGTTTCATTTTTTATTTCAATAAAATCAATATTTGTACTTGAAATTTTTTTTATTTCAATTAGTTAAACGTTGTCAAAAAAAGGTCATTCCTTTTTCTTGTTGATTTTAGCAAATGATCAAATTGATATAAAAATAATAGTTTGTCTTTATATTTGACTAGCTTCTCTAGACTTTGTCATTTTTATTTATTTAACTTGTTGTTTGTAAGCGCAAATAGCGGGCTTTACTCTTATATACTAATCCGATCGACTCGCGTTTTTTTCGTTTATCGACGATGAATTTACCCCATATAATACACATACATATTTCGGTTGATTTTTGAACATATGTTCATCGATCAATCGTTTGTATTCGGACGATAAAGAGAGAGAGAGAGAAAAAGAAGCTAATTCTAAACATAAACATGTAAGCTTCTGTTATGGTCATCATCGTACATACATAATCTAAACAGATCTAATGTAGGATGAGATAAAGAGAAGTAAAACGTTTGTCAATGTTCTGGAACTCATTTATGTTCTATAGTATTGAACAAGCATAGAATAATAAACGCATACATTCATGTATATATATATCTATGTATACAGTCGTTTCTGTTACACTATAAGGTCTTGTTCATTTTTGAGAGAAAAGATCGATGATTTTCGGATACCAAGAATATATGTGAAGAATGACAGATAAGTATTTATATTAGAATGAACTAAGATAGATTAAAAACAATATTCTTAACTGTTTATCTAATATCGAAGTGTTGAAAAGAAATCATTCATCAATGATTATGTATATATGTATATGTTTTTTGTTTCAGAAAATAAAAACAATATTGTATCATCTCATTCATTTTATCTTTTTTGTAGATGTAGATAAATATGAGTAATAGTAACTCATCTTCTCCGCCACAATTCGATGTGGCAACAGCCGCACTCGAACATCTTGAATTACTTAATCGTTCCAATGTAAACCCACTTGAAGTTGCAGCCCAATTTCGAACATTATTACGTTCAAAAAAAGCACGTGGAAATAATGCCAATAGCAAAAATGATAATTCACCTCCACCATCTTCAAATATTGATTATACATATATGGATTATCTTGCAGCTGATGCAACACATCGAAGACGAGCACGATCTCGTGGTCGTTCTGACCGTCGGTCAAAATCTTTAGGAAGAATAAAATATGATCTTGATGAAGATGATGATACAAATAATCAAAGTGGTTATAGTCATTTTACTCAGGATCAATCATCTTCAAACTATGATCCTGAACAATCAAATTTACGTAATACAATCGATGATACAAATATTTATTATGCTACATCAGCAAGACATGGAGGATTAATCACAACAACAAATAATTCAGCAAGACAATATTTACCTGAATCACATTCTTGTTTTGGTCTTTCAAAATGGCATGATGAGGGTTAGTTCATTAAATCAATATTACAAAGAAATATATATATATATTTCTAATCTTCTTTTTTTAGGTGATAGTTCTACTGAAGATATTTATGCTGATTCCGCTGTTGGTTCTGATTATAGTGAGCCACCTCCACATTTTGCATTTGCTTCGAGTAAAGCAGTATCTTGTGACTCAGCTATATCAGGTTCATCATCTCATAAACAATATTCATCATCAAGTTCTGAACAAAATCAAGGAACACCACCATCTTCATCTTCTTTACTTATATCTCCAACTAAACAATATTTTGCTAATCTTTCACAAATTGATGAATCATCTGAGCAAACTGCAACTTTTGATCGTTCAATTTCATCATCAACAAATAATCCTTATCCAACTATTAATTGGAAACAATTACGTGAAAAACAACATGGACATAGCTTAGATAAAGCTAAAACATTTGTTACAACAACATTACCAAGAAAAACGATTTCATCTCAAGTAGTAAAACCATCACCTAATTTAAATACATCATCACCTATATCATTATTAAATTATCATAAGAATCAACCAAATTTTCGTAAACGTATTGAACAATTTAGTACAACAGCAACAAATCGTCCATCAAGACCACGAGCTGTAACAACAGATCTTTCACAAGCATTACAATCATCAACAACAATGACAACAAGTTCTTTAACTACTGTTTCAGCTATGTCAATCAAAACACCATCAGACACTACAGAATCATTTACATATCCAAATGTATCTGAATTACGAAAAAATTTTGAACACAAATCACAAAAAAAGATTCCAAAACCGATTGATATAGCAACTACTAGTACAACATCAACACCACCACTTGAATCACCTTTATCTTATGCACCGTCTATAATATCAACCGGTGATTCTCGTTCATCTTCAGCATCATCATCATCATCGTCTTCTTCTTCAGTATGTAAAAGTCGATGTTCAGCATCAAGTCGTTCATCAAATGAAATTCGTACACCATCAATATCTCCGACTAATTCACCTCGACCGAGTTACACAATATCACGTTTAAATGCATCATCGATGAACAATGAAGATGTTTTTTTTCCAATAGCTGACTGTAATCTTGTTATTAAACATAAAGCAAGTGGAGGACCAAAAAAGACTGGTCATTATAATCGACGTCCATCTTCTCCACATCCACATCCACATTCAGACAATTCAAATCATTTATCGAATTCAATGTATTCGATATCTAGTGGTTATACTGAAGAAGCTCATCTATCGGGTGTATGTAACGAGAATGAGCTTATGGGAGGAAGTACAGACGATGCAGTCTATGTATAAAAAAAATGTTTTTTTTTCTTTCTTTCTTTCTCTCACTTTTTCTTTTTAGATCCTGTAACAGAGTTTCTATATATATATTTTTTTCTATTTGTTGTGTACACGCACGATTGGATCGTTTTAGTGTGTTCTTTCGTTCCATTCATATACGTACACAAGATGTGTCTTTTTTTTTGTTGGTTAACATCACCTGCGAGTATTCAATTTTTTTTTCTCCCATCCATTTTTTTCCTCCTTTATCTTTTTTTTTCTCTTTTCTTGTGATTCTTCTTTTCTTTTTAGTTGTATAAATTATTTGATGAGGTTATGTTTGAAATCAAAAGAAAAAAGACAGAAACAAATATAAATGATGCTATATTATGCAATAGAAATTTTACATAAAAGCTAGTTTAGCTTCAGGTGGAACACAAGAGAAGCAAGAAAGAAATATTTAACATTTTTTCATGTGTGAAATTGGATCTTAACGTATATTATATACACATGCGACAAACGATTGAGTGTATAATGTATGAGTCTAACTGAGATCTATAATTGTATAGGTTGCAAACATGAAATAGCATACTCACACATCTATGGCTATTATTGACAATGATGTAATCACTAATATTTGCTACATTGATATAAAGATTTATACAATTTGATGAAAAGAAAAAAAAAGACGAGAATATTTAATCGTTATAAATTATGAATAAATAGTTTTTTTATGTGAAATAATTATAATTCAAAATTGAAGATATATGTTTTGCTTTCATTTTTTTCTTTCTTTCTTCTTTTTCTTATGTTTATATATATAATATAACTGCATACATCCAATTAGAAAGACAGACAGACGATATATCACATAGATGTTCATCTATAATCCAAGCTGACAATGCACATGCATACAATTCAAAATTGTCTAGTCATTATGAATATGAGTAAACGTTCATGAACAGAAGACCAGACAATGTGAAGATGAAGAACAAACAAGTCTTAGAATTAATTGGCAGTAAAGAAAGAAGAAAGTGATTATTATGCTGGCGGGTGGACAAAAATTGTTAGTTTGCATGCATATTATCAAATATGAGTGATGACAAATTGTTCTAATGAACAAAATAAAACTAATACAAAATTCTCATGCATTTCTATTTCTTCTTAAGAAGTAAAGTTTAACTGAAAAAAAATAATTGAAATATCTAATTAGATTTTAATTGATGACTAATGAAGAAATCATATAGATAAATATTTTTAATACAAGAAAATATGATGTCGATTTGTATTACATAAAATAGATTCAATATATCAAATGTCTTTTCTAGATAAAGTAAAAATGTATTAGTAAGGATTAAGATAACGTCCGAACAAAGGTTAAGATTAAAATTCAATTATTTTATTTTAATCAAATAAAATAATTATAGAAAGTGCTTAATCTTCGAAAATTTAAATTTTAAATCATGAAGTTGACATTAGATCGATTGTAGACCTTGATTATAAATGTTATCTATACTATCAATTCATAGTATTATTAATTATACCTCTTCATATATGAATGACAAGCTAACTTCAAAGAAAATACAACGTTTTAATTGATAATACTTTCCCTAATGTAAATGACAAGTGATACTTATGACTATTTTGATTAAGTAACTATACAGTGATATGATAGATCGATTTAGTGTTCTATCAATGACCTTTAACAGTTCATGTTCATTCATGCAAATCTCTTTTTTTTTATTTGAAAATTATTCATTAACTAGTGTGTTCTTTTTAGAATAAATAAGTAGCGCACAATTGAAAAAATATATATACACTTAATTAACCATTCTTCTTCACTGCACATGTCATCGACTTCATCGTTCAACGAAAATTTTATCGATGATATCAATGCTTTCCTTGCATCATCAAAAGTTGCACCTATTGTTCATGAAGATTGGGGTTATATGCCTGATAATAAAAAAAAAGTTATTCGTCAACTAATGGGTAATAATGAAGATCTATTTCAAATTTTTGTTTATAATAAAAGTCGATCAATTGATCGTATTTGTCCACGTTGTCGTAAACATTATTCAGCTGTCAATACAATTGACAATATCGAAGCTGATCAAACTGGTTCATATACAAATGGTCAATTAGAACAAGCATTGTCGGGTATTTGTTCATTAGAATGTTTTCAAGCTTTAAATGGTTCAAATGCTTTAAATGATTGGTTTGGAAAAATTGCAGATCAAGTTCAAATATTGACAAACTAATACATCGTAGAAAAAAGAAAACCTTGGTGAATAGATCATATTCTTTTATCAACATGAAGAAATTTTAAAGATATGATTTACTATGTATAAAAATTATATAATCTGTTAGTTATTTGTTAGAATAAAAATGTTAGATATAGCAAATTTTTTCTTTTCTTTTATACACTTTATATATATATATCAAATATTTTATTTATATACGTCTAACAAAATATATTCGTCATCAAGGAAATAATCAAATATTAATAATAAAACAATGACAAGATTGCGATTTACTTGTTATTCGATGTATTATAATTATGTTTCTTATAACAGGCAAAGCACATTCATTAATTGTTCGAATTACATATTTTCCAATAAGTTTCTCTCAAACAATATTAAGTGTAATATCAGTTTTATCTATTTCTTAACTCAAAAATATTCTTCTAAAGATAAGAATAATAAAACCAACAGAATCTAATAATCAAGCCTTGCAAGGTGTAATACCTATGAGAATAATCACTGTTACTCAATAATTCAATATTATTTGCAATTAGAATAATCAAATTAATTGTATCAATATCTTCTTCTATATATATATATGTTAAATCTTAACTGTTTTTATATCTAAATGTAATTATTGACGATAAATTCTTTTTATTTATTTGAAAATGTTGCTAAATAAGAAAAAATATATATGTTGTCATATTTATTCTCTTTCTCGTAGAGAAGAGTTCAGCAAAAATAAATTGTTTGTTTGATTGTGTGTCCGCAGGATCAAAAAAACATCAAAAATCGATTTTCGGGAAAAGACATTTTCAGAAGTTTTTTGATCCGGGGAGTTCGAATTTGAGGTCTGTTGGGTGACCAAGGTGAGGGTAGGGGCGAAGAAGATCCAAAGGTCAAAAAACAAAACGAAAATCAATTTTTTACGGTTTTCATTTGTCGTTCTAGTATATGTGAAGAAAATGGATTTCTACGAGAAAGAGCTAAGCGAGTCCTCGGAGGAGCGTTACTTGTTTATTATTTTTTTAAATATTATACAGAAATAAAGAAAAGTTGAATTGTCTTATAAAATTTAATATTTTTCATGATAAACAAGAAAATGAATTCATATCAAAACAAATATCATTATCTATTTTTTTATAGAAAAGAAACATTGACAACGTAGTGTTCGGAGAAAATCCAACACCAGCACCACCACCTCAACAACAAATTCCACAAGTACCACCACAACAACAAATTCCACAAGCACCACCACAAGGTAAGGAAACAAAATAATATATATATATATATATTTTATTCAGTTTTTTAGTCACGTTGGAATATACATTCTTCAACAAATTACCATGGATTCTTTCGATCACATTTACCTTGGCATGGCAGTTCAACTTATCAAGCTATTCGACGTTCATCATACTAATATGCGCATTTATAACGTATTTCAATTTATAAAAAAACTGTTTAATCAAAAAATTTTCGATTGTAAATATTTTATTCATTATGTGGGTTGTACAACTTGACCATATACACTAAAATGGATTCAACTTGTGTATGAAATATAATTCATAAATTAATAACTTTAATCACTTTATTAAAAACCTTTTTTTTCTTCATAATGATGCAGTAAAATCATATTAGTATAAGACTTATCGTCTTGAAAACTAATTCTGTTAGATTCTTTTTTCATGATAAAAAAGAATAAATATCTCATTGAGAATTTTCCTAGCCAATCTTAGTTTATATATGAAAAAGCAAAATTATTTTACTTTTCTAACATAAAACTTATGAAAACAATATAGAAAATTAATTGTTTAAAATCATATTAGGGGTCAAATAAACACTCCGATCATTGAATTTTATGATAAAGAATTGTTTGAAATTCCATAGATTTTATTGTTCAATGCCTAACAAAAAATTAGTGGTTATTAATAATAGATAAGCGAGATACTAAAACAAAATAATATTTCAAATACAATTAAATTAATACTATACGTTTATGAATTCAATTTATATAAATTAGGTTTTTAGTATTTATTTACTGATTAAAGATTATTATACATTGTATTATTTTGGAGTGAAATTTGATTACCATGTAGGTTAAAAATAGCAATCAATTCTCTAACAACATAAATGTTTTGTCCTTTTATTGATAATGAACAATGACAGTTTAGTAAAATATCTTCTTCTTCAATTAATTTTTATTAGAAGAGAATTAAACATTTCGAACAAAAAAACATAGTTGTTCATTTGCTACAAAAAGGCATTAGATTTTTTGAATATTATTTGTAGAACTACTGATTGATTTTATTCATTTCATTTTTTTACACTCTGACATTGATTGAAATCTGATATGGTCTACATTTCAACTTTAATTTGAAAAAAAAACAAATGAATACTTCTAATACAAATTTAATTCGCATTTTTGAATCTCCTTGTTCAATCTTATAACATTAAAAGCACATCCCAATTCTTCATACTGCGTTGTATGTCAAATCAACAATCGAGTGAAATACAATAAAAACAATAGAACAACAAATAGGCACACAAGAAGAAGAAGAAGAAGACGAACAAAAAGAAGTAGAATACGTGATTTTGTGTTTTTTTGTTTTTAAGAAATAGTATTAAAAAAGTTGTTATAATTAATAACAGAAGAAGAAGAAGAGGTCTTTATAGACATCTGTACTTGAAAGACCACATATATACAAAAAAATTATGACATTATTGGAAGCGAACATGAACACATGAATTATGTTTCTATATATTGGATAGTATTTCGCATTATATTATGGAGAAATATGATAGTTATCAATAATATAATCACAGGGCTTTTATCTTAATGTTTAATATCAGTATTATTGTTCAACAACAACTAATTCTTCATCATCATCTAGAGGACGTTCTTTTAATTCTTGACGTATTGCTTCCATAAGCATTTTTTCATCATTATGTCGATTAGCTAATTTATCAACATTTGTGTTTTGTTGTGGTATAATATTCGGATGTTGTTGAACATGTATTTGCGGTTGTGGTTGTTCTTGTTGTTGAACAGGTGGATGTTGTTGAATAGGAGGTGATCGTTGTTGAGTAAATTGTGCAACAGGCTGATGTGGTTGAACAATTTGTGGAATAGGTGACCGTTGTTGTATTGGTTGCTGTTGAGCAGGCTGTTGTTGTTGTTGAACTGGACGATATTGTTGCTGTGGAGGTACTATTAATTCATCAGATGAAACTTGATTATCAAATCTTAATGGTCGTCGTGCATTTCCATTATTTCCTGGCCCAGGTGGAGGTAATGGTTTCGGTGGTGATAAACGTCTTTGATTAGCTCGATTTTGTGCTAACTTCTCAATATCACTCATATGACGATCATCATCATCGAAAAGTTGTTCACGACGTTTTTGTGATGGATTTAAAATACCTTGTACTTGTGCTTTATCACGTTCATGTCGCATAGCTAAACGTTCAACAAGTTCATTATCATCATTTTGCATTATTTTTGTTGGCTGTTTTTTTATTGATGGCGGTGGTTGACGAGGAATTTCAGTTGGTCGACGTTGAAGAGGAGCAGGTTCATCATGATAAGAAGGAGATGATTGAGTTGCAGAACTTATTGGTATCTTTTGACGCGTAGCTGCACGAGCATATTCAAGTGCCTAATAATGATAAAGACATATAGAAAAGAGTTTTATGAAAAAATAAATAATATGAAATTACTCGTTGTGTTCTCGAGGGTTCGGCTGGTTCTACTGGTTTTCGTGTTTCTGACAATGTACGACGAGGAGCTTCAGCTAATTTCTGTTTATTACGAATTACAACTTGTTGTGCATATTCTTTTGTTTTAGATATTTTATCACTCTATATTAAAACAAAAAGTAATATAGTATACATATACATATATATTTAAGGAAGACAGTACTTTTTCTTTATATTCAGGGTTATCATAATCAAAACCAAGACAACCAGTACCAAATCTATGATTCTTTTTAAATTGTTCATAATCTTGACCAGAATATGGTTTATATTGTGTTGGTCTTTTTTGCGGCTGGTTCATTTTAGCTAAATAAGAATCTTTAAAATAAAAAACAAAATTAATGTTTCTTTCTGAAAATAATCAACTTTTGTTTTTTTACAATTACCTTCTTGTTGTATTTTAGCACTATAACTATGATGATCATTTTTATAACTATGATTATCGTTTTTATAACTAGGTGGACTATATCCACCATGGCCATTACCTGTTGTCATTTTACCATAACGACCTATTGATGGATTAACACTTGGATTTGATAGTGGTGGTGGTGGTGGTGGTGGTGAATATCGGCGGGGTGGTGAATGTGTTGGTGGTAAAGACTAAAATGAAAGAAAAATAATGTCATTTCAACTTAGGAGAAAATAAGATGAATAAATAAAATGCATAGGTTTTGCAAGCAACTACCTGTTGCCAACGTCTCTGGCAAGGACAATTTATCCATCGACATTCAATAAATTTTTTTTTTGGTTTCTGAACTGTATTATGTCAAATAATCTGAACTAAAACTAAACGTTTAAATCTTAATCTTACATGATCAATACTGTTTTCTAATTTTCGTATATGACGTTCCAACGGATCTAAACCAGAATAATCTGGACGATCATTATTTTGTTGTTGTTTCATACTTTGTAAATCATGAAGACGTACATCAATATTCACATTTATTTTATCACCTACTCGAGTAACATGACTATCTATAAGAGCAAAAATAAAAAATAAATAACAAGACATTAGACAAAAAAGAATAAAATATTATTAACCTAAAGGTATTGAAACTGTCGCTGGAAAATTTTCATTTTTTGAATTATTTCCTGGATTTAAATTAATTGTTATTGGTAAATTTGCGTGATGTTCACCATTGGAATATGTAACTGCAGCATGATTCATTTGTTGTACTTGTTCAAAATTATTATTTGTGCTAAAAAAAAAGAAATATTTTTATATTTATGAAAATTATTTATTTCTCTTGTTTTAATCATACTTTTGATTTTGATTTTGATTATTTTTTTGATTATTATTATTAGTATTACCACCACCACCAAAAAGATCTTTTCGTTTTGAATATAAATTTTCATATTTTTTTGCTGGATAACGATGATAGTAATTTTCTTTATTTTTAATCATATCAATATTATCTTCGATATAATTGACTTTGGAAACAGGTGCTGGCAGTTGCTGTGGTGGACGACGTGTAGGTGGTGAATGTTCACCTGGTTTTGATTGAGCAGAAGATAGTTTACTGCCATTCATGTTCCATGCAGTACTGGATCCATAGTTACCTTTTAAGATTTGTTCACGTCGATTAGCAGATTCACGTTTTTTAGCATTTTTTTCTTGAACTTTTGCATTTGTTCTTTGTAATTCATCCCAAATAGCTATAAAAATGATAGATAGTTAGTTTAATCTAAAATACATTTTTTTTCGCTAATTTACCTTGTCGTTTTGAATCTTGATCTTCTTGTTGATCACCATTATTTTGATTATTCATAGATGATGGTTGTTGCTGATGTTGTGCATAATTAACTTGATCAAACGGATCATCGTTAATATCAGTAAAAAACATATTGTTATCATTTGGAGGATAATTTGAATTTAGACCATCTTCTTCGTAATATTGTTGTTGGTTTTGTTGTTGTTGTGCAGACGAAGGAGACATATGATACTCTTCGTGTTGTTGTTGTTGTTGCTGTTGAGGAAACTGTGGTTGTGGCATTCTTGGCTGTTGAGATGATGGTGTTGGCGGCATCATTCTTGGTTGTTGGAATGATGGTGGTTGTGGTGGCATCATCCGTGGTTGCTGAGACGCGGGCGGTTGAGGTGGCATCATTCGTGGTTGTTGGAAAGGTGGTGGTTGTGGTGGTCCCATCGATTGTTGCTGTGAAGGTGGCATCATTCTCGGTGGTTGGAAGGATGGTGGTTGTGGTGGCATTCCTGTTTGTTGTTGAGATGGCGGTGGTGGATGCATCATTCTTTGTTGTTGAGATTGTGGCGGAGGTGGCATCATCCGAGGTTGCTGATAAGATGATGGATGTGATGATTGAGAAGGAGCTTGGGATGGACGTCGATATTGAGATGAATTATATATATCTTGAAATTCACTGAATGGATCATTATTTTGCTCATTATTATTATATGTTGTTTGACGATTTGGAAGAGTGGATGGTTGTTGTTGTTGTTGCTGATAATGATTAGTATTATTGTTTTGAGCCTGTTGAGGTAGCATTTGTGATTGTAAGTCATCAAACATAGTATCTGGTTGTTGAAATTGGTATTGTTGCGGTTGTTGATATTGATTATTATTATTATTATTATGTGCAGATTGTTGAGGTGGAACATATGTTGTACGTTGAGGTGGAGACATTCGAGCATAAATATCATCATAACTTTTATCTCGTTGTTCAAATGGTTGTTGTTGTGGTGGTGGTTGTTGTTGTTGTTGTTGTTGTTGATGATGTTGAGAAGCTGATGGCCTTGCATTTGGTACATAGTTTTGTCCAAGAGCATTGAGTAATGGTTGCTGAAATACTTGATCGTTTGTACCATATTGATTCGAAAATACTCCAGTTCCAGTTTCGTAAGTTGAAGGCATAAACATGTCGATATTATTCATATCTAATGGGCGAGTTGGTAATCGTTGTTGTTGGTGGTGTTGAGGATGATTTGATGAAATTATACTAGGCGCAGAAAATGTTATATGTTGACGGTCTTGAGCTGGAGGAATTGGTGGGTCTCGAATATCAAGAGAATCAAATAGTTCAGCTTCAAGTAGTGCATCATTTACAGTACGATTCGCTTTGGTTGTTAACACTACAAAATGACGTTTATGAAATCAAATATTTCTAAACTAAATTTAATATATATTCAAATAAACGCCTATATTAACAACAAAGTAACACGAATATATAATAAAAAATAAATTATTGTCGTCGTCACACACTATATCAACTTGTGTTTATGTTTGTTAGTCGTTTCTTTTTTCTTCAAGTTTTTTTCTTGTTCTTATGACGACCAGCATAAGCAACCAACGGCACACGAACAATTATCGCTGATACCGTTTTACTCTACAGTTCTCTTTCAAAATTGTTTTTCTTATAAATAGAAGAAAACAAAAAAAGAAGGAGAGAAACGCAAAAAAAATCAATCAAATTGCCTGACGTCAAATCTTTCACGAACAGTCTTTCACTTCGTTTTTTCTTTTGGTTTAATAAGCTACACTCATAAACAACACGTTCGATGAGTTGTCAATGAAAGTGTTTTTAAACGTGGAAATATTTTTATGTTTTGTTGTAAACAATTAATTGCAATTTTTATCATTGTTTAATCATATTTACTAAATGGATCTTATTTAAATATAGTCAGATAATTGTCATCAAACAAATTATGAAAGGTCTCTTTTGTTTGAAAACTAAACAAAAAAAAATCTTACTATGATTGGCATGTAATGGGACAGGTGGTGGTCGAGTATGATTAGGTTCATAAGGTACTGAATTTCGTCGATAATTAGGAATTGTTGAAAATTGTTGTGGTATATACGGCTGTTGGGTAGTCATTGCATCTAATTCAGCAAGTAATGGACCAAGTAATGGATCTTGTCGAGGATCAGCTCTATAAACAAAACATTTTAGCATGAATTACACATTATAGGTCAAATATGACATATATTGAACTTGCTTTCATAAACAAAGAAGCTCTGCTAAGAAAGCCTTAGATATTAAGAACATAGTTTTTTTAACATTGATCTATTGTTATATGAAGGTGTTTTGAGAGAATCTAATCGAAAATTATAAATTTTATTTCAACTAATTAACTCGTTATGTTTATTTTAGAGTAAGTTATTTTATTTCAAAAAGTGCATTAATATTGAAATAAGTGTCTATTATGAGGCAACGGAATTCAATGTCAATCAAGATGCTATTTCATTTTAAACTATTATATAATTCAAAGTATTTTTTGTTATATAATATTGCTTTAAAAAAAAATAGATTTTGGAGATAATTATTATTAACATGGATGATTCAAGAAAGAATCCATAGAAAAAATATAGGCGGAAGACGTATATCAATTGCATGTTATCATTTCGGGTCATTGAGACCTTACGATAATAATGTAGACATGAACTACTAATTATATAAAATAAAAAAAGGAACTTATTAGTATTGACTTAATTCATATGTTTGATGGGAGACATTTTTCATTGACAAAAGAAATAAAAGAATGATGTCAGATTTAATTAACACTTGAAAGTTTTTTTTTAATGATTATTATTATGATAGTTATTTTATATAGGTGTGATCAATATGCTTTACAATAGGAAAAAGAAAAGAAAGCATATAAAGTTCTACTTTCGTATATATAAATTAGTAATTTGATACTATATTTAGATTTATTCTTCTAATGACAATAGAAACGCAATCCTTTTTCTTTTTCATGCTATTGGATTTACCTTTGTACATTTGTTAATGGTGATGGTTTCAAAGGATTCGTTAATTGTGTTAAAGGAGCAGGTGGTTTTGAATCTTTTAAGAATTGTGTATCTGTACGAAATGGTACTCCATGACGTGTATTGGCTGCTCCAAGAAGATCCAATTCAAAATCAAGTGAATCGATAAGTGTTTCAGTTGTAATAGGCTTAGTAGCTTTTTCAACTAGAGATGGTGGAACGTCACTAAGACGACTTGGTACATATCTATAAATAAATTTTGTTTTTCACTTCTTTTTTAATAATATATTTTTTACCTGTACATATCTTCTTCTTCTTTATTATCAAATGAAGGTGATTCTAAATAAACTCGTCTTCCAAATAATCCACTAAGATCATCATCTTTATTCGATGGGTCTTGTTTCATTTTTGATTTCGAATTGAAATCTTGTTGATTAGGTGGTTTTGAGAATAGAAATTGATCAGCAGTGAGATCATCTAAACTGTTCTCACCAAAATATCTAGCTGCTAAATCTCGATCATCAATCATCATTTTGTCAAGTGCAGCCATTTAAATAAAAAAAAAGTCGTTTTGATTTCTAAAAGAGAAACAAACAAAAAATAATCTAACTTTAGATTTTTTTCAAAATACTGAATGTTGAATTACATTTCGATCGTTGTTTTTTTTCTTCTATGACCACTTAATAATACAACATACAATTCTTTATTGATGTCAACGCCATCATATGACCTAATCGATTTCCATGACAACGAGCCTTTGTTTAGAATTAAAAAGAATGAATTTTATATGGGATTTATCGACATTGTTTTCTTAATTTTTTATAATCTTCATATAAAATATATCATGATAAATCTTACGTAATATATGAAGGAATTAAACAAATTTTTATATGGTTTACTAAATACAACCAATAGAATGTTAGATTATCAATATGGTTACATTGTTCTTGTTCTTTGCTTCACCTTCTACTTCATGGGTCTATCACTATCAGATTTATTTGTTAAGTTAATTAAATCATTGAAATATATATATATTTTTTTTTAGATGGCACCTCATACACATTCACATTCTCATTCACATGGCGAAGCGAGTTCATTTTTACATGCTTCAAAAACTTGCCGGTTAGGAATGGTATTAGGCCTTACAATCGGCTTTTTCTTTGTTGAACTTATTTGTGGTTATATGCTTCATTCAGTGGCTATTGTTGCTGATGCAATTCATATGCTTAGTGATAGTGGTGCACTTATTATTGCTATGGTCTCTGTCCGAGTATGTTTTTCCAGAATATTTAATTGAATAAAATTTTAATTTTTTTTTGTTTTAAAAGATTTCTAAACGAAAATCAGCTAAAAATACATTCGGGTATAATATTTCATAAATTTTTAATTCAAGAATGAAATTTAACCGTTTTTTTTTCTTTAAATTTAGTTGGGTACGAGCACAAGAATTAGGTGCTATGGTTAATTGTATATTATTGATGTCTCTTTGTTTTACTATTCTTGTTCAAGCTATAAAACGTTTAATAGAAATAGAACCAGTTGAACGATCGAAATTAAATTTATATATTCTTGTTGGTGTCATTGGATTAGCAATTAATATACTAGCATTGATTATTCTCGGAGGTTTGTAGTTTTCTCTTCTTATTTGAATTATTTAAATAATGAATAATTTCGTTTGTTAGGTGATATGGCTCATGGACATTCGCATGGCGGGGGTGGTAAGAAATCAAAGGCGAAAAAAGATGAAGATAGTGTTGAAATGGGTGATAGTGAACATTTATGTGCAGATGAAAATCATGGACATTCACATGGTCATTCACATGGTCCTGTGACAGTTACGTTAGATAGTACTAAGATGACAAATGGTGATACAAAAATTGAAATTAAGAAAAAGAAAGGATGTAAGAAGAAATTTAAAAGATAAAAAAAGAAGAAGAACAAGAACTAATTTTTTTCTCTTAAAATCTAGTGGACGGCGGTCAGATGAATATTCGCGGTGCTTTTCTTCATGTACTTAATGATGCTCTTGGTTCAGTAATTGTTGTTCTTGCTGGTTTAGCTATGAAACAATGGCCAGAAAAACGTTGGGTTAATTATATTGATCCAGCTGCTAGTTTACTTATGATTTCAATGATTGTTGTATTTACTATTCCATTATGTAAATAAACTATTCTTTAAAAAAATCAATATTACATGAATATATATTTATTTAATTTTAGTACGTGAATCAGCATTAGTTCTTTTACAAACAGCACCTATGCATATTGAAGTTGCTGATTTACAAAAACGTCTTGTCGAACAAGTAAGTAATTGAATTGAGTATTAATCCCCGAAAAAAACAAAAATTATTTTCAGGTACCTGGTGTTCTTGCTGTACATGAATTTCATGTTTGGCAATTAAGTGGTTCAAAAATAATAGCATCTGCACATATACGTTGTCATAATTTAAGTGACTATATGGCTATAGCAGAACAAGTTAAAGAATTCTTTCATCAAGAAGGTATTCATTCAACAACTATTCAACCAGAATTTATTGATGTTTGTATTTCAAAAAACAACAAAACAAAAATTTTTTGTTCTTTAAATTTATTTTCTAGCAAGAAGTCATTACTGGAACAGTTGGTGATAAAGATTGTATTCTTGAATGTCTTAAAGATTGTAGCATGAATACGTAAGTAACATACATGAAAATATACTTATTTTCTCTAATAAAAACGTCTTAATACTATAGTATGCATCCGATTGACATACGAGGTTAATGTACCGTAAAAAACATTATTTGAAGAAACTTATTCTTTTCTGTTTTATCATAAAATATAAAGTTTTCTTTAACAGAAAGAAAAAAAGAATATTCACTATTTGATTGATGAGACAACTCGCAGAAATTTATCTACAATAAAAATATGACTAGTTGTGTGTCTAGATAATAATTATACATATATATATATTTAATATAGATGTTGTGGTCAAGAATCAAGTTATGTTAAACAACGTGCAATTCGAAATAGTGGCAATAATAGTGAAACAGGTTTGTATTTATATTTTTGTCCTAACATTTTTATTAATTTTAATATTTTTGTTTTAGTTGAAGATGTTGTTCCACGTTCACAAAAACAAATACTTATACCTTCAATTGAAATAATAAGTCCAACACGTTCGAATAGTTATGTTGAGTGATATTATTTTTGAAAAACAAATTATTAACAATCGAAATCCTTTCTTTTTTCTTTTTTGTCAAATATATTCGTTTTGCTTATTTCTATATTTGCTAATACAAGTTTTCTTTTTTTATAATGTTAATTAATTATCAATTATCCGTGTGTTACACACAGTGAATATTTCATAAGTAGAGTTTAAAATTTACATAAGACAAATTCTAAAAGATTATAGAGATCTGAAAGGTGTGCATGTTCAGTGATTTCATCCCTTTATTTTCCATCCATAATTTTCACCCATATGTCCTTCTATTTCTTTCTTTCTTTCTGTTGTTATATGTAACTTAAATTTTCGTATATCAATATTTATCTTTCTGTAATAGTTTTATTTCTATTTAATCTTCAAATTTTCTTTTTCTTTTTCTATTCTAATTACTTCATCATAGTTGTTAAAACAATAATGAAGAAAATATTAACATAGTCTGATTTTTTTTTCATCTTGAATACAGAAAGTTTATGTAAAATTTAGAAATACATTATTAATAAAAATAGTTACTTAATATAAATTTGATTTGATGATGTTGAAAAAGACGATTTTATTATGAATATATAGAAGAAGAAATTTTCTTTCCCGGTATAATCATTCGTCCATCTATAAAAGATTCTTCAAGCGAATAATTTTATTAATCTAGTCTTAAATAATCTTTGTTTCTTTCATCAATAATATCCTTGATTGATAGATGATATCAATATCTTTTCGTAGGATTTAATATTACAAAAATTTTTGCGTTTTCTTTTTTTTCCTCTAATATCAGATGATAAATGATTGCTTTATGGATCAATGATTTTGACATATATTGTTATGTTTCTGTTAGTTAACCTTCAAACAATGAAAAATAATGGTTTAGTAGTTGATGACGTTCATGAATTAAATACAAAACAAAACAAAAATATCAATAAATCTTTTTTATTATTAACAACAATGGTTCGATGAAATCTTGCTATGATTTTAGCACTAGTCAAATACTCAAAATTTTCATTTATTTTTAATAATACGAAGAAATCTTGAATAATTTTATTCATGTTCTTTCAATCTTTTAGGCATGATTATGACCTATTAATTACATAGACATAGTATAAAGAACAAAAATAGTAGATTTACATTTGATAATAAATTATTAAATAGGCAAATCTGACTGATCGTCTTCTTGTTCGAAATAATATTTTTACGATATTATGTATTGTATCATATGAATATCATAATATTCAAAAAAAATATTTTTTTTCCAAATCGATGACTCGATAAATCACCATATATTTTGTCAATAATCTATAATATCAAGCATAATTCGTTTATCCGGTAATTTCGTTTTTCTTCTGGTGATTAATGAAAACGAATCGATTAGAAACGACAGGTACTCATATACATATACACATATATATGATATACGTTATATAGTAACGAATAACAGAGAAGGGAAGGCTTATATATGCATATATTATATACCTATATGTAAAGCATGTCTTATGATACATCCAAATAAAGTAAGCAAAACAGGTGATAATGCATATGTTTTGTTGAATAAACGAGAAAAGTAAATTCATCTCTATTATGTTCTTTCAATTCTTTCTTTTCTTTTCTTTACATGTTCTTTATTTGGCATATACTATTTAGTAATTACGAATTTGTACATTCTTTCATATATTTCTATATCTATTCATTCAAATATTGGAAAATGTCATTATTATTTTGATGATTCTTTTATCTTTTACAGTCATTTACTATTTCGTCTATATATATATATATATATATATTTGTGTGTGTATACATATCGTTTTTTTTCTCTCTTCTTTTCTATTTCTTTCTTTGAATATAAAATAACACATCGAACAGAGTCTTCCGATAGTCGATGGAAGAATCATATGATGATACATTGAAATGGAGAAGAACCACAGTACACCTATTCATCTTCCTTCTTCTTCTTCTTCTTTTTTCGTTGAATCAACTAAAGAAATAAAGGTAGATTGATGTTTGATAGTGATAAATAACGAATATTGTTATTTATTGAATAACAACTAGACAACAGATTAAAAAAAAAGGCCCCAAAAATCATTAATATCATATTTTTCAATTAAAACTCTCATGTCATGATCCATTTCATGTCATTCCTTTTTTTTATCTATTCTTTCCTAAATATATGTATTTAGTTTATCAAACTATTCTGATCACTACTCATTTCCAATCTAATCAATCATACAATGTAAATCGCTTTTTTCTCTTCTCCTATATATAATACAACTTTAGAACGAGGTAAGTTATCGTCCAACTAGAGAAGCAAAAAAGAAAAACGGAAAAAGATTTTCATACGATTGAGGATAGAATTAACAATAATGATTGTTTGCTGAATTTTTCTTTTTGCTTTGCTAGTTGTATACGCCTTCTATGATACGGATTTTCTCGTCAACGTTCATTCAACTCTGCTTCTTTCTTTTCTCTCTATTTCTTCTTCATTCGGATCACAAGATAAAATAAGCGAGAGAAAGAAAACTGTGTGTACTCGCCATGATAATTCAGACTAACGTTAGACACATATTCTCATGGACGTTTCTTGTGCGCATAAAGAAATCCGAGAATAGCAAGAAGACTATGAAAGTATTCTCATATTCTCCAAAAAAATAGATACAGATTGAACGTTTATATGAGAGAAAAAAAGAAAAATACGATTCATATTATGAATGATATGGAAAAAGAGTTTTTCTGCATTCTTTTTTTTTCTTCTCTTTTTCCTTCTGCTTTGACTTGGTCGTATTTCTTTTTTTGGTGAACGTGTCTTGATTATTGTGCGAAGGGGTTTGCCGCTTTTCCCTATCCATCGTGTCTTCATTTTTTTTTATATTGCCTAAAGGCAACTATATATCTTTCTACTTATCTACTTTGAATAGAACTGTTCGTTCCTTTTTTTCCAATCATATTATAGTGATACGATTCATGTATATTCTTAGTAAGAAACTTATATTTTATCTTCATATCATTATATTAGAAATGATCCATAAATTCTATGATTGCATATATATATACATAGATATATAAATATGTGACAAGAATTATTAAGTATTGGACATTTCTATTGATTCTTATAAAATCTCTTACTGATTTTTTAAGTCATTCAGTATATACATATGTATACATATATGTGTATATATATATATATATATTCAAATGACATATGAAATCTTTTTTTCTTCTTTCTTTCATCACTTTCGTTTTCTACATACATCTACCCATACACCAAACAAACAAAATCACATAGGACTTTCACTGTTTTATGCGCGTATAAAGTATTCGCGATAGAGAATAAAATAAACTTTTCTTTTCTTTCTTCATTCATTTATATTTCATTTTTAGAAGAAGTTTTTTTCTTCTTCTTTTTTTTTTCTCTTACAGAAATATAAATCGACAAGATGTTGATGCCATCTCAGTCACCATCATCGACGATCACTATTCAAACATTACCTTCAGATCAGCAACAGCAACAGCAGCAAAAAGAATACGTCGATACATTAAACAATCAAAAGAACACTACAGTTATAAAGTTTCGACAAGAAAAATCAATGGAATTTGATGATGATTCAAGATTCATTAGTAATATCAATGATGATATCAATAATAATCATTCAACATTTGATACAACAGATGAAATGATTAAATTAGAATCAAATAATTCATCATCAATATCAAGTATAGATGATGATCGACATTTAACAATACAGATACCATCATCACCACAACAACAGATATCAAGTCCAAGTAAGAAAAAAATTTCTTTCATTTACTGAATATATAAAAAAATATTCTTATTAGTATTTAATATGCAAATGGAACAAACAACAACAACAACAATTCCTTCCAATCGTCGATCTATTCGACCATCATCAACTCGTAAAATAGTTGGTGATAATGTACAAATTTCATCAGTCAACATGTCTGAACCTGATCCAAATGTATTTCTAATATCATCTGATACAAATTCTCATAATACAATACGAAAAACAAAACATGATGTTAAACGTTTTGTTATGTATATAGATGAACAATTCGGTGAACAAAAACCTTTACAAACTTTATCAGCTGAATCATTATGTAAATATTTAAAACATTATTTTGAAAATACAAAAAAATTCGATGGTACACAATATGAACCAGATACATTAAGGAGTTTTTTATTGAGTATTGAACGTTATTTAAAAAGTAAAAATTATGAATTTAATCTCATGGAATCACCATTATTTCAAACATGTAGACAAATTATTATAAATAAACGTGAACAATGGAAAAAAATGGGTGGTGGAAATCATTCAAATAATCATCATCAATCAAAATCATTATTAACATCATTAAATATAAAAAATTTAACAATATTTGATCGAACAAAACCTGATTGTTTATTACTTGAAATTTATGTTCATTTAACTAAACTTTGTCATGATAAAATTGCATCTATTGTACAATTATTTTGGAGTGATATTGAATTAATTGATGATCAATATCTTGTATATCAACATCAAAAAACAGAAAATCAAACAATAAGGTTTAATAAATATATTGAATTAATTAATAATAGGAAAATTTTTTTTTTTATTATTTTTAGATTGTATGCAACACCAAATCAACCATCAACATGTCCTGTACAAGCTTATCGTCTTTATGCAATACATCGACCACCACAATGCAATACACCACAATCACCATTTTTTCTTACGCCACGTGTTTCAAATGTTCATCATATATGGTAGAAATAATTCTATCATTATATTTCATAATAATAAATATATTTCTTTTTTGTTTGTTCAGGTATAAGACAACAGCAGTTGGTAAAAATCTTGAACAAATACTTCAAAATGCTATTCAACGTAATATTTCTCCAGAACAATCATCCGTCTCATCTTCCATTTCAAATTTCAAAATTCTTGAACATTCATCACCATCATCATCGTCAATTCTAAATGATTCATTATCTCCAACATTAATTCATAATGGAAAACGAAATGAATCAAGTACATCATCACCTAGTTTATTAACATCATTAAAACGTATACATTCATCAATATCTTCAGTACAACCATTAAATTTATCTGTTACAGCACCCACTACACTTATAGAAGATGATAGTGGTACAGCATCATCATCTCCAACAAATTCAATATCAAATGATATTATTCCATCATCTTCCTTAAATATGAAATTATCATCAGTTGCTGATATATTTCAAAAACAATCATTATCACCAATAATTAATCCCGTTTGGGATGAAAGTGTTACTGATATATTATTAACTGTTGCAAAACAACGTGATACACGTGTAGTTAAAATAAATATTCTTCGAACATATTTAGAAGAAAAATTAGGTGTAGTAGAATTTTTATGTCTTTATCGTGGTTTTAAATCTGAACCAAAATTAACATTTCATGGGACACCATGGGAACATTATCAACGTTTTTTACCTGTTCTTTTTACATTACTTGCACTTGACAATACGGCTGTTTAAGCAATGTCGTTGTTTTTTTAGTTTTTTCTTCTTTTTTTTTTGTTTGTTTTTATCAATCAAGAATTTAAATTTGTTTGTTTGTTTGTATATCTCAAATATGTCATAGAAAGAAAAAGATAAAAAAGAAAAGCTAAAATTATAAAAATTTTGTTTTAATATGCCGCCTTGGGATCAATATTTTTTCTATATGTTTTTATTGATAGTAAAGAAATAAAACAACGATCATCAATTTGATATCTTAGCAACAGACTAAAGAGTCCTTTTAAAATAAAAAAGAATAAATACTTCTTTTTTTGTCTAGTCATTCTAACAATAATATTTTTTCAATCTTAATGGAAATTCCAGAATGAATTTTTCTCTGAAAATATTATATAGATCAAACTTCATAAAACAAAGAATATCGTATTTATGTTTTCATACATATTCGTCACTTGTACAAAACCAATAGAAATTTATCTTTTGTAGTTAAATGATATATTTTTCCCTCTATATATAAATCATTTTCAGATTAGAATAATTTAATATATACAAATTATTTTCACCTTAACTATTAATCGTTAACTTTTTCCGGATTGACACAATTTTATAGAAAATTGATTATTGATTGTTACTTCTGAAAGTTATACAAATATAAATCAACCTATCCTTCATTTAGAAGACAATTTGAAATATATGATGCATTGTTTAACACATATGCCCATTTGTTTTTTTTTAAATAGCAATCCAGAACAGCAAAACGCACGAATAAGAAGAATAACGAAAAAAAAAACCTGCACACCTAGCCATTCGTTATACATACAAAATAGAAAACACATCAATAATAGCAATAAATCAAACAAACAAACAAAAAAAAAACCACGTTAGTTATAGTCTAATTTAAAGGAAAACAATCGATCAGATCCAATCCAATACAAGAAAAGATGTGATTGAAATGCTGAAAAACAGGTTATATATAGCATGAATAAAATACATCAATTTTTGTTCGAAATTTCTTTTGTTCAACTTGCACACACTGTACATAGCAAAAGAAAGACATAATCATCGTACAAGTGATTTGGTCATCATCACTGGATGTCCAACATTAGCACGAACAGGCGTATCTCGTACAGATTCCACTCTAAATAAAATTAAAAAAAAAGAGAATTTTATTATTACTTTTCTTGAACAAAAAAATAGCAAAAAACATATTAATCTATGTTAACAATATTAAAGAGTTACACGATTTTGTTCGTGATATCAATTAGTTCATACAAACAAAAGGTGTACTAATTAGTTTAGTTTATATAATTAATATTAAATAAAGCAATCTCTATAACTCACGAAGAATGACTAAAAATATTTTTGATGATATAAAAAATTTTTCTTTCCGCAAAATAATTTTACCTTGAACAATCATAACTTGATAATGAATTTATTGATTGTTGTTTAGCTCTTTGTTTTGATTTACGACGTTGAAGAAATGAAAGCTTTTTTGATGTTGGTACTGATGTCGATAAATTATTACGATTATCACCAATATAATTATGTGTACCTAAATTAAATAAATTTTTAATTAAAAAAGAAAAAGGCAAAAATAATTTACCATTTTCAAATTCACCTAAAGCATCTGCTCTAGCTGAATGGGCTTTCTTTTTTGAACTTGAACGAAATAAATTTTTAAATGATTGAGATATTGAACGACTTCGACGAATTGGTGCTGGATCCATTGTACTCGATAGAAAATAATCTAAATAAATAAATAAATAAAAATATGAATATTGTAAGAAAAGCTTTTGGATTATATATTTATATATATATATATAGCTAAGTCATGCATAATAATATGAGTTATGGATGCATAAACATACCGGGATGTGGATCGGAGAAAGCTGTATATAGTTTTTAGTTTTCATTTTATATATAAATAAAATAATAATGTATATATCTTACCTGATGATAAACTGTGTGATGTTATATTTGTTTGTGGTGATTGAAGAGAATTGTTTAATTGTGTAATACTACTTGCTTGTGAACTCATATTTGTATCATATTTATTTTTACTATGATGTTTTCGTCGAGGTAATGTTAAATGTTTAAGTGAACTCATGAATGATTTTGATTTTTGAGGTTTATCACCTGTATGACCATTACCATCACGTGGTGTTAAAGATATTGATGGTGAAAATGGTGTACTAGTTGGATGAGGAGCAACAGATCGAGGAAGTGTTGATGAATAATCACGTTCCTTAAACAAATAATATAGTCATAAAAGTCTATTATTTCAGTTAACCTGGTGATTCATGAGAGAATTTATTAAAGATTCAATTACAATGTAAATCTGAGCGTGAGAAAATATGTGATCTTTAATAAACTGTAGATTGTCTGAAAAAAATTTCCTGTTCTTAGATTACTCATTTTCCGACAACATTATCGTCGCGCGTATGATAACGTAAGAGTGCAGAAGTCTTTGTGAATTATTCACGGTTTTTTAGAATCTATATGATACACATGATTTTAACTTAAAACCATTTAAATATTTTATTGATTACCTTGATCAAGTGACCCGAATTTCATGTTTAGTGACCGTATCTATCAATTAAGATTCTTCAATGTGATATTATTTTCTATAACTATTCATCTGTCAAGGTCTTTCCTAGATGACTCAAGATATTTTTGTTACAAAATCTCATTAATATTTGTTTTAGACTTGAGTGTATTTAAACTAAATTTTATGATTTATTCTTATTGATAAACATTTGTATGACTCATAGGTCAATATTTATGTGTCATCGAAAGATATTTATTTTTATCTATTCAACTTACATCATCATATAAACTTGATGATAAACCATAATGTTTTGTTAAATTTCCAGCATCATATGATGATGCTAAGAAATCATTTGTTGGTGATTGTTGATATCGTTGTGGATAATCATGTTCAATTTTATTTGCTTCTATTAAACAAAAAAATATATTTTAATAATAATTAAATTATATTTCACAAAAAAAAAGAACTAAAGTCTACCTCGGTCATTATATGTCCATGTTTGACTATCTGTTAGACTTTCAACATCATATCCATTGTTAGCTGTGATAAGAAAAAAAAAAGAAAACATATAGCGTGATGTATTAGATTAATTAGCATTCAAACATTGATTTATATAAAATGAGCTTACCAGCTAGTGCTTCTTCTTCAGTTAAAGTTGAAAACTAGAAGAAACAAAAAAAACAATGTTTTATCTTGTATATAGTTATTGATCAATTTTTGATTTATCTATTGAAATTCATTAAAAAACGATTTTATAAATTACAAAAAAACGAAGTAAGGATAAATACATCGAAATAGTTTATGAAAGAAAAAATTTGCGTAAATGTCCTCGAGATTTCAAACGATCGCGTAATCGATTTGTATAATCTTGTTGTTTCCAATCATTTGATGTTTGTGATAAAAATGATGGTGCTTTAATTTCTATATTATTTGTAGGAGGATGTTCTAGTGAAGAAGATTGCGTTCCCAATAGAGACTGTGGTTTATGATGTCTTACACTACTATTAACTAATGTTGTTTCAAAAAGTGATAATGAACGATTGGTAAAATGTGATGGTGATTGAACTGTAAAGCCTGTTGATTCCATTGGTGTTAATGGAATACTAGTAGATACTGGAGTTTTTATTGATAATTTTCTTTCTAACGGTGGTAATTGAGGAGGCGTAGATAAATTTAATGGTTCAGTTTTTTCTATCTGATTATCATCGAGTGAAGTTGATGATATTTGCGTATTAGTTTGTGATGGTAGTTTAGTTAAATCTGAACAAGAATTAGATTTAATTGGTTGTAAAGTAGGTAAATGTGGTTGATTTTGTCGTTGATTATTTCGAATATGTCCATTTTTAGAACGTATTTCTGGACTTGTACATAAATCCAAAAAAATCCTATTTAAATTCGTTTCGCTACGACTACGAACCATTTATATATATCGTTGTATAATAATTACAGATATATATATATATATAAATATTCAAGTAAATAACAACCGATATAATATTTACACGTTTGTCACTCGCTTGGTTTCGTTTATAACAAAAAATAATGAAGAACGCAGTAAGCGACACGAAACAAGAGGGAGAGAGAAAAAAAATGTCATAAACTATCGTAGGTGTCGAAAAAGACATTGCTGACTCTGAATATACAGAACAAAAAGAAAATGTAAAACGTGACAAATAAGATTAATAAAATGTTTTGTCAATAAAATGCATCCTTTTAAAACTGTTATTCTTACTATACGTTTTTTTAAAACGTAAAAGACATCGAATACATAATCACGTTTCGATTTATTACATCTACTATAGCGAAGAAAATCGTTCAAATGATACGGTCTGTATACGCCCATATACTGTAAAAATACGGCCCTCTATTTTTCTTCTATATAAGAACAAAAATCAAGGTCGGTATTATATAAATTTACCTCGATACGAATAATTGATTCAGGATATTGTGGACTAATTTGTACATCTTGTTTATAAGCTGTACTTGTTACATAAGAAAATGGTATTAATACATCAGCATAAATAGTATCAACTAAAGATAAGAAAAAGAAATAAGATATGGAAATGAAAATAATTCGAAAAAATAACGAACCATAATTATTGCCTGTTCTTTTATTTGTTGTTTTACGATTAATTATCTGTAGACGTACTTGATTACTTTTATCATCACATTCGAAAAGAAATCGTTCATCCCAAAAACTGTTTTTTTTCAAAAAAAAGAAGGAAATATTCTGTTAAGAAAAAGAATAAATTATTAAAACATACGGATTTAAACCATTTTTTGCAATAGTTGTTTGTTGTGCTTGTTTTGGATGATTTAATTCAAGAATACAGTATGGTTGTTCAACATCTATTATATAAGAAAACTAAGTAATAGATGGGAAAAAATAAATTTGAATAGAATTACCATGTAATTTAACAGCTTTAACAATACGAATAAGTAATCTTTTCGGTTGTTTATCTGTCAATATTTCATTTGTATATAAATTCTGAGTTGTATCATTAATTAATACTGTGGGTATGGAATCTGTTGGTTGATATCTTGTTGGACTTGGTTGATGAGAACGTGATACATTTGATTGAACTGATGAAGTAGAAAGTTGATTAGGAGATATTGACTAAAATAATGAACAGAAATACTTGATTATCTTATCATATATTTATAAAGAAATAACGAGATGTAATACAAAACGTTATTTACTATTAGAATAATTCAATGAGAACTTGTCGTAACAAAATCAGTGGGTGGTAACATCTCTCTTCTAATAATCTTTACAACCTTGAAATCGAGATAACTGTTACTTAAGATAGAAAAATTAGACTTCTTTTCTAGTCTAAATATATTTCACATATCTTATTATAATAATTTATTTAATTAGTAAATAACTAACATTACTTTCTATTTATAATTATAAAATAAATATTTACCGTTTTATTTGTTTCTGAATGAGATAATGGTGATGAATTATAAAGAGGAGTAGAATTAATATTCTCTTGATTATCTGAGAGACGAAACAAACATCGAACAACAGTTCGTTTAATAGTTTCGTCTATTAGTTTGATAACATTTTGTTTTTCATCTGCTGATAAAGCCTAGAGATAAGAGAAAAAACAAAAACATATTTATTATAAGACGAAAACAGCATTTTCATGTATGTCTCTATTTTACATGATTTGGATCAATAATATTAACAGGATTAATTTGAAGTTGTTGAAGAGTAGCTTCAATTGAATATTGACTTGTATTAATTACTAATAAAATATAAAGTTGACCAGATAATTTTTGAATTTCAAGAGAAAAATGTTGTTCTTTAAATGTATTAACAATATTAAGAATTAAATGATCAATATCGAGTACAGCATTGATAACCTTTAAAAATAAAAAAAAGAAAGAAAGCAGATGGGAGAATTTTTTTATTTTGACAGATATAAATACTTACGATTTTATCATTAGTTATTTCACCACTTCTGTTCTGATTAGTATTTTGAGAAACATTACGAATTTTCGCATTAGCAAATTGGAGAGTTTCCACGCTGAGTCGTTCCTAATAATAATAAAAACATGTTTGTCACAATTGGCTTTGTCAGTTAATTTGCTTAAGGACACACATCAGTATGGTGTACATATGAAAAAACAAAGATCGTAGTTGATGATAAAAGTGCTTTTTTTTCTAACGGACAAAAAATTTACTATACCTTTCGATTTAAAAATTCCTGATTTAATGTACGTTGAAATTCTCTCGAGAATTTTGTTCGTATATGACTTTTTTGATTTAATAAAATATTTAACAACGATGGTGTTGTTTTTTGTAAAAATTTATTTCTTATTCTTGTTAATGTATTTCGAATATAAGAATAAGTTAAATAAAGATAATTTTGAATAAATTTTAATAAACGACGATATTCAAAAATAATTAAAAATATTAGTGTTAAGAGAATAAATGTTAAAAGAATCGTTAGAAATAAATAACGTTGATGTGATTTTTCCGTCGGAAATGAAAATTGTGAACGAAAATTATTATAATATATTGTTAAATTATGAACTAATTGATGATATTTATCACGTTGACGTTCAATGAACGCATCGATTATTGCTTGACGATCCGTAGACATTATGAATTACTACTATAGGGATATTGTTCTGTTGTTGCATACACCAACTGCATTATACATTTGGTGAAAGAAACTCAATCATCATCATCATCATCGATCGAGCTGTCGACGACCGGGCGTTTTTCCTCATCTTTCCAAGTGCTTGGCGCATACTTTATCGTTATGAATACAGAAAGCAATAGAGAAAAAAAGAATGCGAGAAAAGAAAAATCCGTATAGATATTATGGGTAGATAATACATCTAGGAAACAAACAAAATGCTCGATCCTGCAACATATAAATGATATATACGGTGAAAAAATCTTTTCTTTCTCTTTCATCTGCCCAAAAGGAATCCGTCAAGACGTCATTGACGGCAAACAAACAAACAAACAAACAACCAACATATGAGACATCATCGAAAAAAAAATCGAGAGAAAAGAACAGCAGCAGCTTTTCTTATAACTAACGGGAGAGTTGATCGATATATCTTTTCTATAAGAAACGAGGAAATACTATATAACGTCAAGGTTAATATTAACTAGAAAGAGAAGGTCATTTATATATAACTTACAAGTTGTTTTAAAAATGTATTATTAATTGCTAGCCGACATGTTTCACTAATATTTCTAAAACCATCATTTTGTTCATGTTGAAGCCATAATCGAAGTTGTTTTTCAATTTCTTCATCTAATGATTGAGTATTTGATGATATTGTATTTTTATTGATTGATGGTCGTTTTTCCGTAGTTGCTGTTGGTGTTGCTGTTGCTGTTGTTGTTGTTGTTATTGGTGGATGTAAATCATTTTTATTCGATATTATTGTTTGTTGTTTTTTATTTGATGATCGATCAGACTTATCATGATGATAAAAAGAAGATGTATTTGATGTTTTACGTACTGATAACCATTTATAAATAAATGCTAGTACAAATATTATTAAACCAATTATTATCCAGAATCGTACAAAACGATATAATTGTGTTTTAAAACTTCTAGCTGGTATTTTTGATATATAAGCACATGATGAATTTGGATATTGACGATAAGATTTTGGTCCATTAGATTTTAATATGGATAAGTAAACAGGAAATGGTGAATGACGACGATATTTATCAAGAAAATAAAGATATCTACGTTTTGATAATCGATAACGACTCAAACTTTTTGTATAATCATAACATTTTATATCAGTATAAGCTGTGTAAAGTGAAGTTGTATTATAACGTGGTAAATGTCTAGCATGTTTTGTTGATGAAATAAATATATGTGCAAGTTTAGTTTTTGTTAGATGCCATATATTCCATGCATCATCAACCCAACCATTTAATTTATTTCTTATCGATAATTTTGATTTCTTATTTTTATTCTTTTTTGCTTTACGTCCAGGAAGTTTATCTTGAATATTATGAGTAAGCGTTTCTATTTTATCTTTAACTTTTTCTGTCAAAGTTTTGGGTTTTGTTTTATGTCCAGGAAGGTGTTCTTGAATAGTATGAGTAAGTGTTTCTATTTTATCTTTAACTTTTTCTGTTAAAGTTTTGGGTTTTTTCAGCGATTTTATTTTGTTAACAACAGTTGTTTTTAACTAAAGAAAAAAAATTATTTATAAATAAATTTTATATTTATTTTTCAATATACTAACATCTTCCGTTTTTTTTTTAATATTTTTTTTCACTTTAGAAGCTTTCTTTTCTAATGGTGTAACTACTTGGTCTTTAAATTTTGATATAACTTTATCTGGCTTTGGAATTGCTTCTTTGATCTGAATAAGATAGAAAATTTTATTTTTATAAAATAGAATAAAGAATGATATTATATACTTGTTCGCTTTTTTCTTTAATAAATTCTTCTGCAGAACCAACAAGATCAGCTATTTTATGATTAACATCATCAACACTTGAAGAAATCTATTTATAATAAAATTAAAATAAAATAATTCTATTCTTTATAATTACTTGATCTTCGATTGATGCAACAAATTTTCCAGCTGATTGTTTTGTACGATCAATTAATGATAAATCTTCATCATTGTCAGTTAAAGAAGATAACTAGATAACGAAAAAAAGAATTTTAATTAATTATGTCATAGAAGATTTACTTTATCATGTAAGTGTTCAGCTGTTGTTTCAATTGGTTGAATAAGATCTTCTTTGACATGATCAAGAATTGAGGAATGTTCTTCTTCTTCTTCTTCATCATCGTTACTTGTAGAAGAAGATAACTAAAAAGAATTAAGTCGAATAATCTTATTGAAGGTTATTTATATATACTTTATTTTTAACATCAGTCAGAACTTTATCAACAGGTTCCACTAATGTTTCTTTAATCTTATCAGTTAATGTAGATGATTGTTGTTGTTGTAGTTGTTCTCCTTCATCGTCAGTTTCATAGCCTGACTCTCCATTATCATCATCATCATCTTCTGCAGAAGACGAATGGAACTATAGAAATACATAAAACAAGTATGTTATAATGGTTTAATCAATATTTTTACTGTATTTTGAAACTGATTAGCTATTGCTGAAGCAAAACTTTTCACTTTTTGTATAGGCGTTGATAATTGTTCTTTAATTTTATTAGCTGTTGTTACTGATTGAACAATATCATCATCATCCTCATCGTCTGATTCACCACCGGAATCTTCATTATCACTAATAATTGAAGAAGATAACTAAACGAAAAGAAATCATATTAAATATCGAGTAATTTTATGTTATTCATCATTTTAAATCAAACTTGATTTGAACTAATTTATTAAAGTACTTTTTTTCTATGACAATTACAGAAATTTCCTTAAGTTGACAGTGAAAAGTTCTTATAATGTTTACTATTTAATATCAATAAATCATATTTTTGACATATTTTTATTTCGTATAAAGTTTATTCCAAACCATCGTATTTTTCTACGAACAAATTATTTTCATCCGCTTTTTATAATCTCTAATGAAAATTCTCTAATATTATTGTCAATAGTAAATGTATTTTTTTTCGGACTGTACAAACCTCATTTGCAATTTCTTCTCTAAGATTTTCGGCTATATCAGATGGTTTAGATGAAGAATCTTCATCTTCATCATCATCTTTATCTTCAGACGAAGATATCTAATAAAAATATATTATAATATATTACATAATATTTTAATATAAAAACAAACTTTGCTTTTAATAGTATCTAAAGTTTGTTGAGTTATTGTTGTGTGTTCTTCTTGATTAGTATCATCAACATCATCATCACCATCATCAGATGGCTCATCGTCATCTTCATCATCATCTTTATCTTCAGATGAAGATATCTAATAAAAATATATTATAATATATTACATAATATTTTAATGTCAAAACAAACTTTGCTTTTAATAGTATCTAAAGTTTGTTCAATGACTGTTGTAGGTTCTTCTTGATTAGTATCATCAACATCATCATCATCATCATCATCATCATCACTATCATCATCTTCATCATCAGATTCGGACGGCTCATCATCATCTTCATCTTTATCTTCAGACGAAGATATCTAATAAAAATATATTATAATACATTACATAATATTTTTAATATCAAAACAAACTTTGCTTTTAATAGTATCTAAAGTTTGTTCAGTTATTGTTGTATTGTCTTCTTGATCAGTATCATCATCTTCATCATCATCAGATTCGGACGACTCATCATCATCGTCGTCATCATCATCATCATCTATATCAGGAACTGAAGAGGAGGAAAATGAATTCAATTCAGTATTCTCCTCCTCTTCTTCTTGTTCTAATTTATTTTGTTCATTATCAGAATGAACAATATCATTTTTTTTACTTTCATATTTTTGAAATGGTGCTTTAAGATAATAAACAATCCATCGTTGAAATCGTGAACTTTTCTTTTCTATTTCTTTATCCGAAATTTTTAAATTATTGATTCGTTTTCCGATATCTTTTTGTATTGTTTTAAATGTATCTTCAAGTTTTTCATCGCTTACTAATGGTGAATGTTTTTCATTTATTACTGTTTCATTCTCATCCGTAAATGCATCAATAAAACGTTTATATAAATTCTCACTCATTGTTTCAACAACTTCTTTTACAGGTGATTTCGATGTTGTAGTTTTAACAGTTGTTGCTGTTGTTGTTTTCGTAACGATCACTGGTGTCTAGGAAGAAAAACAAAATATTTGATAAACACTTATTCATTTTTTTTTATTTACCGAAGGTACTTTTACATTTTCATGATGATGTCGAATTGATAAAGCAATAGGCATAAGAATAAATAAAGTTTGTAGTAGAAGAAGAGCAATAAATGTTGCAATAAATAAATATTTTTTAATATCTTCACGTTTTATTTGATCACTATTGAATATTTTCCAACGTTGACTTAAATATTGATCGTAGAATTGACAAACATGTTCATGAAAATATTTTGAAATATAAAATGATAATATCGAACATAACCAAAATAATGGAAATAATATATCATAATCAATTGATTTTGGAGTTAAAAAACGAACTATTTTTAATGGAAGCCACAAAGTAAATGAGATTATATTAAATATTAAACGAAATATTAGTCTTAATAACCAAAAGAATAAGATTTGTATACGAATTAAACAGTATATTAGAACAAAGAAACCGATTGTGAATAGAAAACCTTCCTTTAACGATCGAATACGTTCTTTACTAAACATATTTTGTTGTTGTAAATGAGCTATATAACCAGTTATTGAATTTATTAATGGATTATTCATAAATGTATTTGGTGGTAATGTAGTAGATGACATTATGGAAGTTTAATTAGATTCGTTGTTTCTAAATAGAATAATTGATAAGTAACACAGACAGATTAAATTACGATGAAACGTGACAAGATCAGTTCTTTATGTTATTTCAGATGACTGGACATGTCTTTCTTTTGTATTTTATTATCTAAAGACTAAATCATATACATATTATTCTTACATACAAAATGCCATTATTATACAATAAGATGATTACTGTCTCTATGAATGTTCGTGTTCGTCTACAATTGAGTAATAATAAAAATGTATGTCACTAGAGATGTAAAACAGTGAGACTGAAGACTATTTCCTAGTTCTTCTTTGTTTATGTCAATGAAAAAATAGTTTACAATTACTGGGCAGTCAAAAAGAGAACGACATGCGCATAAATCTAATGTAACAACAACCAAAAATCCGATAGTAAAGCAAAGAATGAGAGAAAAAACGAGATTGAAAGAGCTGCTGTTGCCATCGTCTTTCTTCTTTCGACAGTTCTTTGTCTACGACATAAGAAAATAAAATAAAAAGAAATGTTCGACTACTTTCTCCTCCTCTCATAACATCAACTTTTTCTTGTTACCATAACCCTTCTCATCCTTATTTTTTTTTCTCGCTCTCTCTCTCTCTCACTCTTTTTCTATATCAATAGCGCGCACGTTTTTAATAAATATGATTGAGCATAGAGATAAAAAGCAGATATTGAACCACAAGAGAATCAAAACAGGAAAGACTCTAATAACATACCTGCCTTATTTAATTTATCATGAAATTATTTTTATAGTAACAATCATCGATTATATATGTTTCATCTAGAAAACAACAAGATAAAAACAAAAAAGAAAGATTCAGAAACATGTTTAACACATTTATTTTGAATCCTTTGTGCACTTGTCTCTGAATATAAGCAAACATTTACTGATCATTATGTGTTTTGTTCTTTTTCTTTCTCGCATTTATCATTGCACAACGGCAGAGTTTAAAGAGTCGAGTATTATACGAAAAAAAAGAAAAAAAAGAAATGTGACAAAGTATTTACTGCTCGTTACCTGTTTAGTTTAATAAGGATGAAAAACACCGCAGACAAGCAACTATTTTGATACCTACCATAAATTATTACAGGTAAGTAATCAAATGGTATGTTACCGCCGTTATTAAAATGATCATTATAAATGACATTATATGGTAGATAAAAAATACAAATGTGCGATTCCTTCTTATTTTTTTCGTCTCTGTTGAGTATGTATGATGAAAAAAAACAAAAATTTTATTTTCTTTTTATGTCACATTAATTATTCAATAGTCAATGTTTATTTAAGACTTTGACAATATATTGGAAATTGATTTTTAATGTATTGACCAATTTGATTTGCTGCATCTGTATTTACTCCATCAACAAATAAAAGATATAAACTGCAAACACCTTCATGTTCATCTAAACGTGCTTGAATACTACACACTTTAGTTATTTGATTGTCATCAGATTTTAAACGTTTTGCTGCTGGTGGTTGTTCATCATTTTGATGACGTCGACGTTGACGTTGATGAGACCATAAATTTTCATATGCATCAAATATCCAAGCAAACGAACTTAGACTTGTCCATTTTAACTACAAAAAAAATAACAAAGATGAACTTTTCATAAACGATCTTTTGTAAATACTAAAGAACAATCATCAAAGAGTAAATCAAGGTTATTAAAAGAAGAATCTGAATTGTAATGTTATATGAAATTGTTTAACTTCTTTTCTTTTTCTTTCTCACTACTTATATATATATGATCAAACTGAATCAATAGCTATAGTTGTCTATCAAGGTCATCTCGTACAAAAATAATAAGATGAAAGAATAACTTTATTCTTTTTTCTTATTATATAAGTTACAGTATTCATAAACTTACATTGAGTTTATTAAATATGAATGTTTCTAGATAATTTTTAATAAAATCAAATGAATATTTCGATTCAAATTCAATATTAATTGGTGTTCGAGTTATTTCTTTTCTTTTTGCTTTCTAGAATTATAATAATGATAGAAAAAAAAAGAAATTTTGTATTTGATTTCATTTAAATACTTTTAATGCTTTAAATGCTTCTCGAGTTTGACATTGTTCAGGAAAATGATATGTTTCATCAAATGTCCATGCAATTGCCCAACGCATCGTATTTCCTTGACAAAATTCTGTATCAATATGATTAATATCTTTTAAATATATCTGAATTTGATCTAAACTTGATTTTTTACCCAATTGACTCGTAAAAATTCTAAAAAGAAAATTATTTTTGCTAATAAATATCTGTTCTTTTTGTCTAAGAAACTTACAAAAAAAAATTCTTTCTACCTGACATTCGTGGTGTATGTTTGACTTTCATCAATCATACGTTTAACAAATTCAACTTCACCACCTTGATCATATATTGATTCGATATTTGCAGCTGTATTTATTGAATTAGCTGATGGACGAGTAGATTTTCGAGTATGTGTTAAACCTTGAGATTCTAATGTATCAGTAAAGAATGGAGGGTTACACATAAGAAAATCATAATGTTTTGTTCGATCAATAACACCATCAAATAAAGCTGATATATCTGTTTGTATTACTAAAATAAAAATTCTATTTTTAGAAATAAATATGAATAGCTTTTTTTTGTTACCATGAATTTGATCTTGTAATTGATTTTGTTCAACATTCTTTATAGCCATACGATAATTAAATGGATCAATTTCTGAAACATACATTGTCCATTGAGGATTAAGACGTAATGCTAGCAGTGCATGAATACATGAACAACCACTACCTTAATTATAAAATAAATCAAATAAGAATTTTTATATGTTTTCTCTTTATACCAATGTCAATGCCAATTGCATCATTTTTACATTCAATTAAATCTTCAATCCAGTGAAGGTAATTTAATTTTTGTGGAATTCTTGGTATGAGACGATCTATAAATAATAGATAAGAATAATAATAATAAAAGAATAGATTTCTATTACCTAAACTTAATTCTAAATCTAAATTAAAATCTTCTTTAGCTACTGCTATTGTTAATGCTCGAACAGAATTTGAATCACGAAAATCAAATGTAACATCACCATTATTTTTTTCTATGACAAAAGGTTTTAATGTTGGATATTTATCTGCAAGTTGTTTAAAATTAGGTGGATTTGTTCGATAACGATTTCGAACATGCATATATTCATTGAAAGACATCTAAAAGATACGTTTTTATCTATAGTGATTTATCGATCATGTTTTACATTTTGATTTTCAAATTTTATATCAATACAAATAATTAAAAGAGAATAATTTTTCTTTTTATTCTCTATAGAATTTCTTTTTTTCTCTTATAAAAAAAAGTCGAAGAATAGTTAAGATAAAAAAATGTGATTTAAACACGTTCGATTAATAATGAAATGCCTTGACCACCACCAATACAAGCGGCACCAATAGCATATTTTCCTTGTCGTCTTATTAATTCATATACAAGATTTGCTGTGATACGTGTACCTGATGCACCTAATGGATGACCAAGAGCAATTGCACCACCATTAACATTAGTTTTATCGTTTGGTAATTTCAAAGTTTTTTGACAAGCGAGGAATTGTGGTGCAAAAGCTTCGTTAATATCAAATAAATCTATATCAGATACTTGTTTTTTTGTTTTCTTTAATAAATTTTCAATAGCAGGTACTGGTCCAAAACCCATTATTGTTGGTTCAACTCCACTAACATGATAACCTACTAATCGAGCTAATGGTTGAAGATTATGTTTTTTTAATGCTTCTTCACTAACAATAATCACAGCAGCAGCACCATCACATACACCACTGGCATTACCAGCATTAACAGTTCCTTTATCTTTAATAAAAACAGCGGGTAATTTTGCAAGTGTTTCCATAGTTGATTGTGGACGTGGATGTTCATCTGTATCAAAACTTTCCTCAGCTCCTTTTTTTCCTTTCGTTTTTATTGGTTCAATTTCATCTTTGAAAGAACCTTGATCATTAGCTTTTTTCCAACGTTGTTGAGATTGTAAAGCATATTGATCAGCATCTTGACGTGAAATACCATATTTTTTTGCTAAATTTTCCGCTAAATAACAAATCAATAGATTAATACAAAGTTCTTTTCGTCTTTAATCTTTATTAATTACCTGTGATACCCATTGGTACTTTAGCATATTCATCTGTTAAACCTTGCCAAAGTGTATCTTCAAGTTTTAAATCTTGACCTAATTTTGTTCCAAATCGAATATTTCGTACTGCATATGGAGCTTGTGACATGCTTTCAGCACCACCACAAAGTACAATATTTGAATCACCTAATTCAATTTCTTGTCCACCAGATATAATTGATTGAAAGCCAGATCCACAAAGACGATTAACTGTTAATGCAGGAACATGAACTGGTACACCAGCACGTAAAGCAGCATGACGAGCAATATAAGCTGCATCTGATGATGATTGCATAACATTACCAACAATTGTACTATCAATACTTTCAGGTGATAGTTTTGATTGTTTTAGAACGGCACGATTAGCTAATTCTTGTAAATGTGTTGCTGAAAAATCTTTTAATTTACCACCATATGTACCGAATGGAGTACGACGTGCTGCAACAATATATATAGCGCTTTTAAAGACCATGTCTGTTCGATTTTATTTTTTTTATAGACTATTTGATTGATATGTTCTCAATTTATAGAGAGAATAGCAAGAAAATGACGACCTTTGAGTTTAGTTTGTCATCATTACATAGCATCCAATCCAGTAACTACCATACTGATTTACAATTTGTTCGTTTCATTCATCAAACAGAAATAAAGGAAAGTATATAAGAATGACTAATAGCGACCTCGACCTTTGGATTATTGATGAAAATGATTATATTGAGAAAATTTCAAGCTACAAACGTAAATAAGATTAAAGTCAAAAACTATATTATAAGAGACTATAAGAAAAGCTTACATCAATTAAGAATGCAAATATATTACCTTGACATTCAGCATGAGAAGGAAAAAACAAGCAGTGATAAATATTTTTTTTACCTTTACTAGTATATATCCTAAAAAATACTATTTATTTTATTTAAAGAATAGTATAAATGTTAATTTTAATTTTCAAAAAGTAACAATAAGTTCTAGGAGATATTAAAAATAGAAGAAAAAAAACTTAGAATCTTTCAACTAATGTTGGTTCTTTAAGATCGATAGGTTTTACTGTAGATTCATTTGAATTTTCCATTCCACGGCATGATTCTAACCAATCGATTTGTTGATTTGAACATCGACATGTTAATATATCAAGTAATTTCATCCACCATGTATATTGACTTATTGGTATTGCTGATTGTAATTGTTTAACATTATTAATATCCGGAATATATTTCGTATTTGTTCTTTCTTTTCCGCTTGCTGTTTTTCTTGAACCTATCGTTGGTGTTTCAATAGTTCGTGTCATTAAACGCATATTAGTTATAGTTGTCGTTTTTGAACTAAAACAACAACAACCGGGTTTATAATTATATTCAAATCGAACATATTCATCAGGCATTAATGTAAATGTTGAATTTGTTGATTCAGGTTGTTGAGTTATTGGTTTAGTAGGCATATTATTCTTGGAACAAAAAAAATTATGTATATAAGATTAAGACAAAATCTATTTGATTTTGTTTGAAATGAGAAAAGAAGAATGAAGAATGAATTTTTCGAGTAATTACATTCCATCACGTATCTCATCGAATGACCATGTTATCTGTACTAGTACTTGTTATTCATGTATTTCAAGTTATGATAAAATGATTGACAATCCAATGGATTTAAGAATGAATACAATCTACTATTTCAATCCAGAGTTAATGTTCAAAAAACAAATAGTTTACTCTATCAACTTCGATTAATACATTAATTTAGAGAAATTATTTATTTTTTATTGTTTAATACCCTGGAGATAAATAATCACCAGCTATGAATCGTACTTAAAGTGCGTTTTGTAGCATCACTATTACTTTTATTTAATTGTATCTTGGTTTCTTTTTCTTTCAAATAAGAGTATGAAAAACTTTTATGATAAGAAGTCGCTAATGTTAGAGGTAAATTATTTTGCCAAAAGACCATAAAACATCTGGAGTGTCTATGTTGTTATTTTTTGTGACAAATAAATATAACGTTATCAACACGATTTTCTAATTTCTTTATTTATGCTTCTATTTTTTGCTAAGTAAAGATTTTATCATATATTAAGGTTAAAAGAATTATCATTAAATACAATATTTCTAAGAGGAACAGCCTTTTCAAAGATGCAAAAAATAAAGAATCAATTACGTAGTTGTTTTTCCACAATCATGATATATATTGAATGCTAACGTTGAAATTTTCAAAAATATATTATTCAAATGTATATATAGATATGAATTCGACCAAAAAGTCACGCTAACATTGATAAAGACTTTTCAATAATCTATATTTAAGCAAATCTCCATTAGTATCGAGCTATTTCCTTATCTCTACAACAATTATTATTAAGAATAGTACGAATGTCATTTCTAAGAATAACAACCGGCTGTTATACTATAATCCAATCACATACTATTAATATTTACTCAGTCAATCCATTGAACATTATCAATAGTCAATGCTATCAAAGTAAGAATAGGTGAATGATAAGAGAAATTAATTCATAGATGCATGGACCATTCAATACTAATGTTTCAATAGAATATCAACACAAAAACATGTTCATATTTTCAAAATCTCAGAAAAATTATCTATGACAATTTTACGTTCTACTATTCAGAAACAAAAGTGATCATTTGCAATAAATTCTTTATCATTAATTACTTTCATAGGATGGCATAGATATAGAAATCATATATTAAACATAATCAAATTTGAGAATATCTTTGTCGTGCAAAAAGAAACTTATTCCCATCTTACATCTATCTGTTAAGATAGTAATCAGTTTACTTCGAATATTTAGATATTTAATCATCAAATGTACAAATGATTCTAATTGATTCTGAAACCTATTCGTCCATTTAATATATATTGTTATTATAAAGATATACTCTGATATTAATTTTATATTTGTTTTTTTTAAATAGGCACACGATTAATTTAATGCCATGTTATAAGAAAAGAATATGGCCAGATTAACAAGAATATAGATTAGCACAAATTTATCACAAAAATAACTGAATACAATATTTTTTTTTTCTAACTCAGATATATATTTTTTCTAAATGATTATATTGATCTATGGTGAAAGATCCAATTTTTTGGGTTGTTCCCAAGGAAATTCTGGACGACCAAAATGACCATAACATGCCGTTTTTGCGTAAATTGGATTTTTTAATTGTAACTTCCTAAAAAGAAAATTGTTTTCCAAAAATAAAAAATATCTTAAAGAAAATTTACTCTATAATCGAACCAGGGCGAAGATTAAAATTCTTCTTGACTATATGAAGTAATTCTTTATTTGTTTTTGATGATGTACCATATGAAAAAACAGAAATAGATGTTGGATCAGCAACACCAATACTATATGATACTTGAACAAGACAACGACGACAAAGTTTAGCATGAACAAGTGATTTTGCAACCCAACGAGCTGCATAAGCTCCTGATCGATCAACTTTTGATGGATCTTTACCACTAAATGCACCACCACCATGAGCACCCCAACCACCATAAGTATCAACAATAATTTTACGTCCGGTTAATCCAGCATCACCTTGTGGACCACCAATTTCAAATTTACCCGAAGGATTTAAGTGATACGTAGTGTTCTTATCTAAAAACAATTAATTTTAGTTATTTCTACTAATTTATTAATTATAATTTTTACCAAGTAAATCTGCTGGTATAACTGCGTCAATAATCTTCGTACGAAGATCAGCTTTTAGTTGTTCTTGAGTAACTTGAGGACTATGTTGAGTCGATATAACAATTGTATCCACACGTAGTGGAATGCAAGCACCGTTTTCAAATTTATATTCAACAGTAACCTAGACAAATATTTTGTTTATTTTTGTAATGTTTTATTTAATTTTTCGTCATACTTGAGTTTTCGAATCAGGTCGAAGATAATCAAGTTCACCACTTCGTCTTAATTCAGCCATTTTAGCATTAAGTTTATGAGAAAGTACAATAGTTAATGGCATACATTCTTCAGTTTCATCTGTTGCATAACCAAACATTAAACCTTGATCACCAGCACCAAGATCAGCTTCAGATTTGTTTTCGTGTACAGCTTGAGCAATATCTGGTGATTGTTGTTCAATGGCAACAAGAACATTCATTGTTTTATGATCAAAACCTTTATCAGATGAATCATAACCAATTTTATGAACAGTATCACGAATTATTTTTTGATAGTTAAGATTGGCTTTTGTTGTTATTTCTCCACACACTAATATCATACCCGTTTTTGTACATGTTTCTATTTAGAATAATGGAAATATACAGCTATAAATAAGAAATAAACTTACCACATGCTACTTTAGAATCAGGATCTTCAGCTAAACACGCATCAAGTATAGCATCACTCACTTGATCACAAATCTTATCTAATAAATGCATATTAAATTAAATTCTGATAATTAAAAACGAAGATCAGCATATGGCTGAAGGAATCATCTAGTATGTTATGATTTAACTTGAATTACTTATACTATTTATTATGAAAAATAGTTTGGTTTCTAGGATGAACCGACACATTCTATAGTAGCGAGTACAACACGACGACATATCATAGACAAATTTATAAAGTAGAATATAAACATAGCTTCTGTTATAGCTTATATTCTTTGCAGACAGTATCCTGGACTGTAATTTAAACAGATAGCAGTTACTATTCCGTATAAGTGACTTTATGCTAGAATCAACACATCACTGAAAATCCAGACTGATCTGGTGATTCCTTGAATCAAATTCCATATAATGTATTAAAGGTAGCATTGTAAATTATAACTTTTCTGTTACCCTTTTCATCAATTCAACTTTTTTACTTTATTTATATAGTTATATACATAAAGAAAAATGTTTTTGACCTTCAGAAATATTTCATCACTCACCAGGGTGACCTTCGCCAACTGATTCTGATGTAAAATAAAAGACTTCACCATCTGCTTTGTCTGACTCCATGATAAAAACTTTGGTGCGATGTATATATACTAAAAACAAAATTGAATATGACTTATTTAAAATTATTTTATAATATTCTTTTTTCTTTTTCTTATAAAAAAAATGTAGAATCAACGAACGACTATTAAAAAGTCACCGTTATTCTATAATTGCAACAGTAATTTTATTGTAAAAGGTAGACACATTGTCTCCTTTCTTTTTTTTTATAAAAATTATAAGTAAATACGTACGTTACAAGGTACGAATACAATATAAGTAATCCAATAGCGAATATATTTACAAAATGATTTTATGCATGAGATACGTTGGGGGAAAAATACTATTTTTACTATATTATTCTATTGTTTTTGTGTATATTATGACAAAAAGAATAAATCACCGTTAGGTATATGAATATAATAAATAAAAGAAAGGACGATGTTTGATCAATTTTGGTTATTAATCAAATGAATGTCACCTGTATCTGTTGAGAAAGGGAGGCAACATATATATGATTTATATACGATGTACGCTTCATGGTACTCGTAACTATAAAAACACAAAAATGAGAGAAGTGCCGATATGGTCGAGTTTTTTTCTTATTCTTTTTTTTGCTTTTTCCTCTCTCTCTTTTACTTTTTTCTTTTTCTCGTTACTATACAAACAGGTTTAGTTCGCCGTAAGAGACACGATGATACGAAACAAGGTAAACAAAAAGACACCAATGATAACCGTTTCATTGAGAATATCATGTCTTTATGAGAATGTTTTCAATACATCAATCTGATCAAAAACAATCCATGCATTCAAAGCGTGATTGCAACGTGACAGAAAAAAATCAATTATTTTCAAAATAAAAACTAACAGTATTTTCAAAAACTAAATAAATAGATTCAGAATCATGTCCTCAAAGTGTTGAAATATGAACTTGTATTGTAAAATAAATACTATAGTAAAATTTGTTATTCTCTTCATCAAAAAACTAAATCTTAATCGAGGAGTGTATTGAAACAAGTTAATTAAACTGTATAGTCTTCTAAAACACTTTTTCCTCATAAGATACGATAAAATAAATATTTTACTTACATGAAATAAAACAGATACTTCCAAAAACGCAATTTTTATATTATGTTTGTCTCACGCGATTTCATCAAAGTATTTATATATATATTTGCTAGCATGACGTATTCTTCCGAATTCTTTCAGATCAAAAAATAAGCGTCAATCTGAGTAATACAAACTTGTTAAACTATCCTTCTTCCAACTGAATTATTTATGACTAATGTTTTATGATAAGAAATGGTATTATTTAGATTAATAAAACAAAAACAACAAAGTCATTTAAAAATAGGAACTTTACGCCTTTTGTTTTTTTTTGTTGAATTTAAAAATTATAAGTACTATACAAACACACAATGTTGAATTATCAATTATCAACTATGTTTATAAAAGTTTCGAAACAATCTTATATAAATATTTGTTCAGTATTTACGGGAATTGCATAAGAAAATTGAGTCTAAATTTCAAACTAGTCCATTTATTACATCAGTAAATAATAATAAAAAAATTCATAGCCTTTATTTTCAAATACTATGAAGATTTCTCGAAAATATTTTTATTTCATATCCCGTATTTAATTTTGTTTAGCTATAGATAAGATCTGTTTCATATTACATATTTTTTCAAATGATACATACAATAATGACTTCTCCGATTTCAATATTTGAAAGTCGTGTTGTTTTTTTGATGAATGAACAAATAAATCTGACTAGTCATTTTTTAATCAAAACGATATTTTTTTATTATAGAAAATATGAAACCTAAAAAATATCATTTATTTATACTTTATATATCATATATCAATCGTGTAAAGTTTAAAGACAAATAAACATAAGTTTCTAGTTTCGTCTTTTCTTTTAGTTGAAGATTGATAATATGACAAAGAAAAATTCTTTATTCGAAATTTAGTCCCGTATGAAAATATTCTAAACGGTTAGTTTAATTGTACGGTAGGTAATAGATGAAATGTTGGTACTTTTACATCGATAAGAAGAGTGACTGTTACGCTTATTCATTCGTTTTTGTTGTTTTAATTAAAAAAACAAATATTACCGACCTGACGTTTTTTTTCATTGATGATATCTATTCAATGAAATCTGTGAATATCTTCATAATGCATGGAGACTGAATTGTGTTAATTAAAATGAGGTATATCAAATTCAAAGATTTCAAGAACATCATCGACTTTCTCATTTGTAAATTTAGACATTGTGGTTTTTTTTTCTTTTACAAATGTCTAAAAGAATCAACCTTTGGGAAAAATTATTATATGTATGTATTTAGTCAACAATCACAGGACATGTTCAAATAAAAATGATCTCTATGGTATATCTATATTTGATTTATATACAACTATGAAAATTCTTGAAACATGTCATGAATGTATCAATCGGAATTATTACAATAAATCATAAATACATAAAAATAAAAACAATCATAAAAGCATTTCATATATATTATAAAAGGAGAACATGATGTCACTTATCTGAAGCATGTAATTAGAATATTTACAATAATATAAAAATAACTCATCATTAAATTCATTTTTTCTTCTTGAAAAATTCTCATAGTTTTCAAGTCTTTCCTTTAATCATGTTGTTCACATTTCTTACTAGGCAATCTTCTGAAACATGTTTTATTGAGATTTTTGAATATTTACAAAATTGGATATTCGTTAAATTTCTTAATTAACTAGTCTCACTAATAGTCTATGAAAATATTTTATTGATAACATAAAATATAGTTTATTCAATGGAAATAAAATGGTAAAAATCTATAACACATTATGTCAATTAGTTAAAAGAAAAATAGTGTACAGTATGGATTTCAACTATTTCTAATCGTTATTCAACTTTTCGTCCTTCAAAATATCTTATCTTTCCTTGTTAAAATCTAAAAAGAAAATCTCGTTCTACTACGACGAATCAATAAATCTAAAATTCTCTCTTTCTCATCCTAGACAATACTTTGAAGTAGATAACTCACAACTTACTATTTTTTTCTAAGAGTACTTTATGTCAAAATTGAAATTCTCATTAAATAAGTAAAAAATGAATTCTCTAATTTACTTATCTATTGATTGTCATTAAATATTCAATTATATTCGTTAGGAATGAAACGGCCAGTTGTAGTTTATTTTCAATAAATTAAAGTAACATAAAATCCTCTGGAAAGAAAATGAAAACAACAACAACAACAACAGTAAGAGAGAAATATGAGTGCACAATTCAATATGTATATGTTTTCATCATAAAATACTGGAATAAGAATCCAAATAAAATGAAATATATGTTTGTATTATCGATAGAGTCGTTTTGTTAAACAAAATAATCAAACCATATGCACCCGTATTTATCCCATTGGAAAAGAAAACTAAACGTTTAAATTGGCCTACAAATGTCTATATTTCATTTAATGTCATAGAATTTAAGTTTTTTGTTGTAATGAATTTGCTAACCAATCCATAGCTTCATTTAATCCTGTACCTTTAATAGCTGATGTTTTAAATATTTGATATTTTCGATTTTTTAATGATGTTAAACCAAGTGCATTTGCAACTTCACTAACACTCATACAACCATCAAGATCTTGTTTATTGGCATATACACATAGAACAGCATTTTTTAATTCATCTTCTTCGAGCATTGATAAAAGTTCTTGTTTTGATATACTAAGACGATCACGATCCATTGAATCAACAACATATATAATTGCATCGGTATTTGAATAATAACAACGCCAATAAGGACGGATGGATGTTTGACCACCTTTAAGAAAAGATAATAAATAGAAAAACTTTCATCAATTATAATATTTACCAAGATCCCAAACTTGAAATTTTAAATTTTTATATTGTACAGTTTCAACATTGAAACCAATTGTGGGAATCGTTGTTACAACTTCACTAACTTGAAGACGATAAAGTATTGTTGTTTTACCTGCACCATCAAGACCCAATATAAGTATACGTCGTTCTTTACTACCAAATAAACCAGAAAAAACACTTAATAGACTGCCCATTTATGAACAATTATATTATTCTATTAAATCAAATTTTTGATAGTAACAAGTTTTGTTATATAAAACGACAATAATCAATTTCTGAATTTCAACATCTGCAAAAATGTTATAGAAAAATTCTTAGTCATTCATATATATATACGTGCCAAAAAAAAATAAGAAAAAAAAGTCTTTTTTTCTTATTCTTTTAATTCAAAACAAATAAATTGTTGGCCTTCCACGTCGTCAGCTACTGGCTGGCGCGCGTCATAGGTGATCATGACAGTATAGGATGGTTGGTTAACAGGACTCAAATTATACGTCGAACTACATGGATTAGTTTCTTCAAAATCAAATACTTTGATAGAGGACGCTCATTTCTGATCATGCTAAGATAACATATACAGTCAATCTTAACAAGAATACATGAAATTATAAATTACATGCCTATTGAAAAAATTCATTGCATTTTTTAGGATGACAAAATAGTTAATTTATTATTATCATCTGTTCCGAATATATCATATATATGAAAAGAATAGTTAACCTTCGTTTTTCTTATATAATTGATTTATGAAACGTATAGACATATTATCTATTATAGAGAGTATAATAATATTAGTTTCTATCTTTGGATTCTTGTATTATAAATGTCTAATGGTTTATAATAACTGTCATTTACATTTTTTTCTCTCTATAGTATCTAAACATTCTATCTTATCTGTTGATAAACTTGGATTTTTATGTACAAAATTATCTATTAAATCAAATATTATTATCTGTTGATATTTATTAGATTAATATAAGATGTGTTGTTAAAAATCTAACTTAGATAAATGTTTTTAATCTTAATATCTGATTACTAAATACCATATGTTTCTTAAGTAATGTGAAGATATTATAGCAAATCGATAATCTTTGATAGATTATTATTTTACACAATAGTAATATAATCTTGAAGACTAAAGCTAAAGTTTATTTAAAGAAACAAATGCGCTATGTTTTTTTAATATATGTTGAAGAGAAATAAAAAAAATGGAATGAAGTTTATCGTAATGACATGAAGAGAAATAGTATAAGATACACTATTCTTTCAAATAAGTTCTTTTCTTGAATTATTTTTGACTTTGACGAGGATTATTTGCTGGTGCCGTATAGTTGCTATAACCATCAGGAGCTTGATAATATGTAGATCCATTGCTATTTTGATAGTAATACGATCCATCTCGGTTACTGTAATGGTAGTGACCTATATCAAAATACGTACATGTATTCTAGAATCTTATTATTTCTAAATCTGTTTAAGTTAAAAATGATTTTATATAAATTTTAATAAATGCTACAGATAAATCTATCAAGTTCTCGTAAAGAAGATTCTAAACTACATCCAGAAACATCTGAAATGAAATAAAAGGTCATGAAATATATATCTGACATGCCTCCTTGCGCAGAACCATCACCACGATGATCATATTGATTACCATATTGGTTAACTCCACGTTGCCAGTTTTGAGAATTTTGTTGCGACATAATAATAAGTATTTTTTTATTCAAATATCTAAAATGATAAATCAAATATTATATAATATCAAAAAATATTTGTTTTCGTGTGATGATAATTACAATAGAATCTATAATAAAGCACTGCTTTCGTTCTCTAATTAGATATGCAATAAATATAGCAAAGAAATATAATTATCGCGCTCTTATATCTTTTCAAAAGATGATTAATCGCATAGTTTTTATAGACAAGCAAAGATAATGGTTCCCCTTGATAACGTCGAAAACGAAAATGTCTAAAAATAGAAATGTTGAAAAGAAAAAACTCGAAAGCATCAAACGATAATGATGAGTGAGAGGTGAGAGTGGAAAAGATTCCTCTTTTCGTAAACTTTCATTCTAGACATTTTTATTTTCGACGTTATTAAGTAGAACCGCGGTATCTTAGTATCAGCGAGCTACACTATTAAAAATGAAAGAAAGAAAGAAAGAAAAAAGTAGTTTAAATTCAATATCTTACGTTATAACTGTGCTACATGATAGTTCTTTCACAATAATATCGATTGAATTGATCAGTTCAAATGAATTTTGCTTTCCTTTTGATATAGCAAAATTTACTTACCAAAATAATAGCTATGTGAAAGTTAATCAAATATCGTATCTTCATGTGACATATTTCATACGACTTGAAATATTATGTAGAATAAAGTTTATATTTATTATCTTATCAAAACTAACAAATAAAAACTTACCCAATAGTATTTCTATAATTATCATTCAACTGCCACGATCTTTTAATTTGCCATCGTTTATAACACAGAGCTGCTTTTATACAATCAAGAATAACAAAAATAATAGAAATATCCCAGTTATAACATATATCTTTTTAATAACGAATATTAGAATTTTCCCTTTTAACCTAGATAGCTAAAAGTGCACATGTGCGTTTTCTATTTTTTTTTCTTTCTCTCTTGTATAGTTATAGTGTACGAATTTTCCTTTACTATTGCACTTTTTTTCATTGACACCCCTCAAAGAGTTTTCCTATCCTATTTGTTTATTTGATAAATTTTTCCCGTCTGTTGTATACTTACATAAACATTGCATTGATAAAATATGCTACAGATATACAAAAATAAATTCAAGTATGATTGTAATCTGATGATATCATTTAGTATATGATAAATTACGAATACAAATATGAAGTTAAAATAGCAATGATATTTACTTCATATATTTTATATTGTAGGACAAATATCATTGTGGATATTTGAATGCCTATTCTATCTATTGTTTTTGCTTATTTTTCGTCATTTATTTACAAAATATTCTTCGTTAACTATTTGGATAAAATCATGTAGAAGATCGATCAGACAAAACAAAGCAAAACACTTAAATTGTCGAATATTTATCTACTTTTGGAGACATCCTAATCATTTGCCAATATTGAGTTTTTTGATTCAGTATTTTTCTTAATCAACGTATCGACTTTAGAAATAATCTTACAATAATTACTAAGATAATTTTATTTTAAAAAATTCTATACTAAAAACACCATGTTTCAAAAAAATAGATTTGCACACTTATAGGAAATCACCAATAGTAAATTATCGAGTACAAAATATTAATTATAAAAATTCATCTTGACCTAATATTTCATTAGTAGAGACGGTATATGTCTGTATTATTCATTGTAGAATTTTTCTTACAATTTTAATGATTCATATGGTATTAATATGTAAAATATTTGTAATGAATCATACATATTTTTGGAAGAATTACATTACCAGAACGATTAGAAGATAGCATGAATTACCATATTCTACTGAGAACTACAGTATTATTAGATAATTAATTTGAATCAATCTTAGTTATTCAAAATTGACAAACGCTTGTCTGAAATAAACACATGATTAAATCATTTTTTATCATCAGATTATCAAAAGATCTGAAAGATTCGATCTACAAGCAATTAATACTTTCGCACTGAAACACACTTTTCTAATTTTCTCTCTATTTACTCAATAGAATGATGTTTTTTTCGTAGGAGTTAAGCTCTTGTTAGTTGTTGACAGGTGATATATTTAGTTTTCATCAGTAATAATAGTATCTATTTTTGCAACTTAAAATAGACCACAATAGATATATATTATACGTCAGACTAACATTAAAAATACTATTAAAGTTTTAACCACAGTTTCATATTTTAATAGATCGTGATATACAGTATTGAATAATAAATATTTTTGTTACAATTGAGAATATATATATGACTCATTATTTGTCACGAGGCTTATTCAATCGTCTGAATCATTCATGTTTTTTTGTAAATTGAAGCGAAAATAATCATTTTAAAAGCTTTTTTTTAAAAATTAATCACGAAAGCAAAAATACGTTACTTAATTATAATTTGAAACTCAATAAATAGCTCAAACGTGATATTTGATCTTTACTTGTTGTTGTTATTATTATTATTTTCAAAAGAATCAATAGCCGTTTTTTACTTTGAAATTTTTTCTCTCAAATAAACTCATACAATAAAATGCGACAAGAACAAAAACATCATCACCACAATCATAGCACCAGATAAAACTTACACATTCTTTCTCCATCAAAAACAAGATGAAACAAACTTTTAAAATCATAACATATCTCATCTCTATATTCGTCTTTTTAAGCATCGCGGAATTAAAAAAAAAAGAAAAGAGAAATAACGAAGACATCAAAAAGAAGAAGGAGAAGAAGAAGAAAAGACAGATCTATATGTAATTTCACATATGTATATGTGTGAGATAAAGACAAAAAAATTATACAAAATGCATGAATAGGTGTTTTGTTTGATATTTTGTTGTTGTTTTTTCTTTCTATTTCGCATGCATACTCACATTTTGACGATACAAGCGAAACAATAAAATAGATCAGATTAAAAAATAATGATAGTTTCAATGCGCTAAGCACGATGATAAATAGTAGAGAAAAAGAAAGAAGAGTTTATGATTAGATCAATCATTTTGTTTATGAAAGTATGTTTTTCAAGAAAAGACAGAAGTATAAGTAAGATAATAGGAAAAAAAAACGAAGTAGTAGCAGAAAAGCATTGACTAACATAAAAAAAAAACGAAGAAGAAAGAACAAATATAATAAATCTCACACATGCACACACAAACAAACCACTAATGACGCAAAAAAGAGGAGAAAAGTTTGAGGAACAAAAACTGGTGAGATAATGTGCCGGACGAAGACATAGACATGACTATATCTAATAGCCACAATTTTTTAAATATTCACCGATCTTGCTTGTTGCTCCCACTAACATTTCGGGTTTTTGATTGACACCAATTGAAACAATATAAGCTAAAAAAATTCTTTTTGTTAAAAAGCTTTTCAATCTTATTTCTTTTACCTTGGTTTAATTTTACAATAACCATTCCATCAGCACCTTTTCGAAAGACAGCAAAATGATCTTGGTTACGAATAAATATATATTTTTCACCATTAACTACAACACCAGATGGTTGCGCAGAGAAAGCTTTCGGCAATTCATCTCTAAGGTGATCAATATTCTAAAAAAAACATACTTAAGATGATATATTACAAAAAAATATAAAAATGAAACCAACCGGAAAACTTGGAGATGCAGCCCAGCGAGATCCATCATTACCAAAAATTCCAGCGTGTGTAACACCTTGACTTGTCAAATTTGTGATGTACTGATCCCAACCTGCCATTTGAATTTTTCAAAATATCTTCAGAGATAATGGCTCTAGTTAACAATCTGAAAAAGAAATATCCAGCAACTTATATAAAATGCTCGATTGTTATTAATAGAAAAACGAAGGTTGAAAATAGAGAACGTACTAGAATATCAGTAGCAGAATGGTACATAACTGTAGAGAAAAAGAAAAAAAACAGTAGATAAGCAAAAAGGAGAAAGCGAATAAATAACAACAGTAAGAAAATAGTCGGAGGTGGTGGAGATAGTCGTGCGAACAGGAAAAACGCATGCACTAGGGTAAAATTCTTCGCACTAATATATATTCTCGATAATCTATTCTCTCATCACTAGAGTTGTTCTTGTGTCCATAACGCACTCTCTGTTACTGTCTGCCGATGAGGAAAGAAAAAAGAAAAATGGAAAGATGGAGAACGATTATTCATGTATATATATATATATACATATGTATTCATGATTATTATCATCATTAGTATAAGCTGATTGTTTAGGTCTAAGCATGGAAAATAGAAATAAATATGTCTGATTCATCCATACGATGCGTCATCGAAAAAAAACAAAACAAATAAATATCTATAAATAGATTCGATCTATTCAATTAAGAAAGAAAAAACAAAATAAATACAGTTAATAATATCTAGAGTTTTTCATATGTTGATAGAGTAATTCATCTGTATGTACAAAAATTAAATATGTTTTACTTTTTTTTTCTCTACAGTACTAATCATACATAAACTTGAACGGACTATAGACAGGCATAAACAAAATGGAAGAAAGATAACAACAACAAAAAACAACTAATCGCACCTCGAAAGAGAACAGTTGGCTAAAATCTATGACCTATAAAAGTGACATCTATATATAAATAGAATTATCTAAAAAATAAATCATTTTATCTTTTGAAAAAAATCCATAATTCTATAAAACTTATTTTCTGTTAACATATACACTAATATTAAGAAATGTCTCCAGTTGGTCTATGTATTTTACTCAGAATTATCCACTCTTTCTTATGCAATTTGATTTTCTTAATTCTAGCTTTATCTCTTTTTTTCTTTAGAATTATTCTACAGTTATATCATTAGAACAGCAAATAAAATGGATCTCGCCCCGGTGATCGAAGCACTTCAAGCTACACTTGTGCCACAACTGCGCAAACAAGCTGAAGAGAAACTTGCTCTTGTATGTTACTTGTTCTAGATCTTTGATTTAATAAAAAAGAAATCGTTTTTCTAGTTCTGCAAGGCACCCGGTTTCATCCCATGTCTCATTCAAATTATTCTCAATGAACAATGTGATATGGGTAGTCGACAAGCTGGTATTTAATTTATATTATTTAAATACATAAAATTCGAAAAGTAAAAACTCTTTTCTTATTCTCTAGGAGCTATTCTATTAAAAAATCATATTAATACATATTGGTCTGATGGAAATGATCCACATTCAACAACTGATCCCGACATTCTTGCATTAGCTGATGCTTGCAATGTTAATATTCCAAAAGTAACTGGTGATAATTCTAATAAAGTTTCACTTATATCTGATGCTGATAAAGATTATTTACGCAATGTTCTTATTGATGCTATTATACGTACAAAAGATCCATTACGGTAAATAGATTAATAAATAATTGACTGAAATTTTTGAACAAAAAACAAAACATTTTAGTTGTCAATTAATTTCAACAGCAGGTACAATGATTAAACAAGATTTTCCATCAAAATGGCCACAATTTATGAACCAAATTCATACATGTCTTTCAACGGATAATATTGAAACATGGAATAGTGTTCTATTAGTCTTCTATACACTTGTTCAATATTACGAGTATATATTTAATTTTTATTCGTTTATTTTCAATTGATTAATGGTGAAATATTTAGATATAAGAAAGTAGAAGATCGTGGCCCAATGGATGATGTTATGTTTGTTATTTTACCACTTCTTCATCAACGTTTTATGCAATTATTCGCTCATGATGATTCCGATCAATCAGCGCTTATACAAAAACAAATCTTAAAAATATTTCATGCTTATACTCAGGTTAGTCTTTTAAAATTTTAATTCTACATATTTCGAAGAAAGTGTTTCCATTTTTCAATATAAATTCTTTCAAGTGTTTGATTATCAATATAAGCAACTATTTAATTGCGTAGAAAAAAAAAAGTTTTATTTATACAACAAACAATGATTGACAGACTGTCATGTCAATTACTAATGTTTTACTTTGTTATTCATAGTAGAATTAGAAGTAAACAAAATATATCGGTATAAGCCTTCGGGAAAGAGAGTGTCAAGGAAGAATAAACAAAGTTGAGAAATAATAGGATTCCTTGAAAGCAAACAAAAAGATAAATGAAACTTTTATTCAATCATAAAATCAATTAAAATTTAAAAAAGAATATTGTTTTAGCTTCATCTAAGTTTTCGAGTATTACCAAGTCAAACAATGGCATCATGGCTTGATATATGTTGTATGATACTTGAAAGACGTTTACCTGAACGTTTAGATGCACTTGATGAAGATGATCGAGCTGAACATCCATGGTGGAAATGTAAAAAATGGGCTTTACATATTCTTATTCGAACATTCGAACGGTAGAAAATACTACTGAAAAAGAAACAAACTCTCTAACATTTTCTTATATATTAGACATGGATCACCAGCAAATTTGCCTAAAGCACAATCAGCTGAACGAGTTGAATTTGCTAATTTTTATTTAAAAGGTTTTTCTGGTATGGCAAAAAAAACATTTAGTCTATTAGTTTCATTTAATAGAATTAAATATCTTTAGCTAAAGTAATAACACTTGTTTTTGGTATTCTCGAAGCATATAGACAAAAAATCTATACATCACCACGTGCTGTACAACTCAGTTTAAATTATTTACGTGAAAGGTAATTGAGTAAGCTAGAGAATTTTATATTCAATGTTTATAATTTTATTCAATTTTTTTAGTGTTCGTCATGCATTTTCATGGAAAATTGTTCAAAATAATATTGTTGTATTAATACAAGATATTATTTATCCATTATTATGTATAACTGATGATGATATTGAATTATTTAATGAAGAACCAGTTGAATTTGTTCGTAATCGTCTAGGTATATTATTCATTAATCAAAAGCGGAAACAAATGAACTTATTTTTTGTCTTTTAGATATCTTAGATGAATATATAAGTCCAGTATCAGCTGCTGAATTATTTCTAGCTGATGCTGTTGCCAAACGTAAAGATGTTCTAATGAAAACAGTTAGTTTTCTTGGTACAATTATTCATAATGATACAATAACAACGAAACAAAAAGATGGTGTTTTACATATGTTAGGTGTTATTGGAAATGTCCTTATAAAGAAAAAAACATTTGCTAATCAATTAGAAAATATAATTGTTCAATATTTATTTCCTGAATTACAAAGTCCAACACCATATCTTCGTGCACGTGCTTGTTATGCATTAAGAAATTTTGCTAAACTTGAATATACAATTCCGGATAATTCAACACGTTGTTTAACAAATTTAATACATTGTTTATGTAATGATACATCATTACCCGTACAAATTGAAGCAGCTATGGCATTAAATTTATTTTTATCGGATACAGAAGCAAGTGATAAAGATAAAGCTATTATAGTTCCACATTTACAAGTTATTGTTATGCGTATTATTGAAATAATACGTAAAACAGAAATTGATGATGTTATGATTGTTTTACAAAAAATTGTTGGATTATTTGATCAAGAATTACAGCCAATTGCTGTACAAATGACATCACAATTAGTTGAATTTTTTAAACATGTTATTTGTGCTGAAGGTGAAACAACGGATGAAACAAAAGTTGAAGAAAGAACAGTTGCTGCTATGGGAGTTTTAAATACATTAGATACAATTGTTAGTTGTATGGGAGAAAAACCAGAAGTAAGAAAATTATTTTTAAGATTTTTGACAAAAAAAAACTATTCTATAAATTAGATACTTGCGCAAATTGAACAAATTATTTTTGAAGCAATTGCTGTTGTATTACGTGATGGTATTCTTGGTAAATATTCTTTTTTTTATTTATAATTCGATAAAAATTGTTTTTCTGTCTAGATTTTTATGAAGAAATTTTAACTTTAGTGGATACTTTAACAATAAATACAATTAGTCCATTGATGTGGCAAGTATTTTATTTGATTAAAGAAGCATTCTATCGTGATGCTGCTGATTATTTTGCTGGTAAGAGTAAAATAGGAAAATTTTATTTCGATATCTATTTAAATATTTTGAAGAAATTATGAATTGTTTACATAATTATATTGTTAATGATACACCATCATTTCTATCACAACCTGATCGACTTGAAATTATTTTCGAAATGTGTAAACATGTAAGTAATAATTAATGAAAATCAAATAGACTAGAACTCTCGTTTAAAAATAATACCGTCAGGCTTAGAGTCATATTATCAATAAGATATAAATTAGATGTAATTTATTGATTATCAATAAAATATCGATACTTTATATTTATGTTATTAATTATGCACTATGTAAATAAGACGACATTTCATAGAAACATATTTATCTTTATAGTCAACCGAAAAAATCTTGTATTGCATGACTTTGCAGATAAGGGCATTTTTATCTATTCATATCAAAACGGATTCAACTGAATTAAATGCATGATTAATTATTAATTAATTTTGATGCATGTTTTCTAAATGAAAGGAAAATGTTAATGATAATATGTCAAATAATGCATGGATAGATTGACAAGTAATAAATAACATGATTTCTATTTCCTCCTACAGATATATCATAAATTATTTAAGTGCTATAAGATTTAATTTTATATTCAATGTATTATAAGAAAAGTTAAATATTTATATATCCTAAAAAATAATTTTAAATTTCATAGGTCATAGTCAATGATCTTGGTGAAGATTCTGAAGCACATGCAGCTAAACTTATGGAAGTTGTTATTCTTCAATGTCAAGATAACATGAGTGTTGTATGTATATGTTTGATTTGAATTTAAATAAATCTATGAGCTATATTTTCAGGCATTACCTGCCATAGTTCAAATGATTGCTAAACGATTTGAACGTGAAGTAGTGACTAGTGAATTACGTTTAATGTTAATTCAAGTATTTATCGTTATATTATGGCTTAATCCGGATAGATTTTTTCAAACATTAAATACAGTAGCTGCAAATGATCCAACGACACAAAGTATCATTGGTAATTTTTTCAATCAATGGATGACTGATTGTCATTTATTTGCTGGTGTTCATGATCGTCGTGTTTGTGCACTTGGTCTTTGTACATTACTTCGTATTGATGCAACTTATTATCCAGCAATATCGGAGATTGTACCAAAAATTTTACCTAATTGTATTCAAATCTATGAAGGTTTAATGAAAACATATCAACATAATGATGAAGATGATAGTGATGATGAAACCGATGATGATGATGATTCAGTTGCTAGTGGTAAAATTTCAATAAAAATTTGTTTCGTATATAGAAAAACTAGAAATTTTCATTTTATAATAGAAATTGAAGATGGTGAAGATGAAACAATTGAACATGAAGATGATTTTCTTGAAAGTCTTGACAAATTGAAAGGAAAAGTATGAATTGACAGTTTTCAATTTCAAAATATTATTTAAATATTAAATAAAGGTACCTGATCATGAAATGTCTGGTGAAGGAGTTGGTGACGATGATGATGATGACGATGATGAAGGCAGTGATTTTGATATAGATGAAACTGATCTTGAATCATATTCAACTGTTCTTGAAGCTAATGAAGATATTGATGAATTTCAAATATTTTCTGAAAGTTTACAAAGTAAACTATTTTATTAGATTTATTTTTTTTTATTCTTTTTTCTCCGTTAAAAAGAACTTCAAGCAGATACAACTGGTTATAATCAAGCATTATTACAAAGTCTTTCACCTGAACAACGTACAAACATACAAAATATCATTCATTATACCGAAAAAAGAAAACAAGAAAAAGGTAAATTTTATATTCTATCTCTATTGACATTTTTTATGAATAATATTTAGAATCAAGTAAAATCCGTGAAGCCGGTGGTTATAACTTTACACAATCTGTTGCTGCTGGACAACCAACAACCTTCAATTTTGCAGGAAATGGTCCAATAATAAACATATTACAAAATCAGAAATAAAGATCTTCTTTTTATTGTTTTTATTAATTTTCGTTTTTTGTTAACTGTTTAGCACGAATTAAGAACAACAAAAAAAAAGAAGTTTTACACTGATAGTTTTTGTTTATTTGTTAAAAAAAAAAGAAGAAAAAAAAAGATTATTAAAATCTTATCTTTTCCTATTTACCATTGTTTATAGTTGGAAACGATATTGATCTAGAATATATATTAGTTGAACAACATAATTTTATTGAGAAGGTCATAGTTTTTCTATGTCCTTGTAATGTAATATTCGAAATAGTCAACAATTTTTATCATTAATTACATTTTGGTAGGTTTTTCTATTTGACATATTTTAATATAGCATGAAACCTTTTCTTAATAATCATATTTTAATAACGGACTGCATATCTGATGAATACAATTTTTCAATCAGAAGAAAAAAGTAAATTGCTGAACTGATGTTTATTTAATTTAAATATGTCAATATGACCTTTTTTGAAATAAGAATTTTTATTTTTTCAAAATAAATTTCGTATTTTAGTTAATAAAATGTAATAATTGTTTCTTTTTCTGTTCTCGTCTATGTTTTATTTAACTGATTATAATAAAAATATGCCGTACTCTTGCTATCATAAGTAATAGTTGCCAGGTTCGAATTACTTTATGCAGCTTCGATGTTAAAAAAAGAAAAGAAAGCAAAAAGATCTCTTTTTACGGTAACGGCATCATTTTACTTATTATGTAAACAATTTCAAAACAGATGAATTCGACATGAAGTATAAAAAACAACCTTTTTTTTTCGACGTTTCTTTTCATCTTATTAAGTTTATCTTTCACATTATATTAACATGAAGAAGCCAAGTTTAGATGCATGTTATTGACAAATAATTGCCTTCAAAGACTGGCTATACATTTATTAAAGAAAAATCAATTACTAAATTTTTAAAAACAGATATGTCTGTTCGAAGTCGTCCAACAATAAGTTGGTCACCATCATTATCAGCTAGAAGTAGATCCACTAATTTAAGTACTGATACAAAACCATTAGTAACTACAAGAACAAAATTACTTCGACAAACAATTAATAATCAAAATAATTTTTCACAATATATGACAAAGAAAAAACATGATATAGAAGAATTATTTCAATTATATTATTCGAATAATGTTAAATTTGATAGTTTTAAAAAACAAATTGTTACTGGTATATTTTAGTTCTTTCGTGAATAGAAAATAAAACATTTTATTTTCATAGGAACACGTATTCCAACAGCACGAACAGTTCCAATACCTCAAAATAATTTAATAAGTACTTCGATACATACATTTGATTCAAAACATTGTGTTAGTCGTGAACAATTGAGTACATTAGACTTGAATAGTAATGAAATAAAAACAAAACTAACTGAACCATGTCAAACTCATAAAGATGTTCCAGTAGCAACATTAGATCCTAGTCTTTCTTCACCAGTAACAATACCTACAATTCCAAATCTACCAGAAATATCTACATCAACTGAACAAGCTGAATTATATGATCCACCACTTGTTAGAAGTGTTACTTTTCTTGATGATAATTTTAATGAACTAAATGATAATACTAATACACAAAATCAACGTCCAAAATCATCATCAACAACAACATCAAGTATACCTATAATTCTCGCACCGCCACCATCCTTTCTAGTACCAAAAACTAATAAACAACAAAATGAACCATCAGTTTCATCACAACAACAACAACAACAAAATCAACCAACTGTTGTAACTGGTTCAGCAGTTATAGTTCGACATCGATCACCAATAAGATCATCATGGAATAGACAACGACCAAGATCAAATACAACATTATCAAACAATTCATCTGCACGTCAATTAAGTCCAAAAGTTCGGTTAGTTGATTGAATATTTTAATTTTTAAAAAAATCTATATTTCATTTTATAGTCCATCATCAAGATATAGTTCTTTATCAATCGGATCAGATATGCCTGAACCACCACCTGTTTATCCCAATCCACAACGTATTGTATCAATTCCATCAAAATGCAGGTTAATACAAAAAATTTATTGATATATAATAGAAACAATTTCAATATTTTCTTTTCTTTTTTAGTCGTTATGTTCTTGTTACATTTCCTGAAGTTCCATTTCGTTATAGTACACCATCTTATGTTGAACGTATTTTATTACCAGAACGTTTTCCAACTTTATTTCAGAATATAACTCATAGTTATGATGAACAAATAACTAATATTCATCATCGTCGAAAAGGAAAATAGAATAGTTTCTCTATATAAAAAAAAGTACAAAATAACTATCTTTGTCAATGTTCTTTATTTCTTCTTTTTTTTTCTTCAAAATAAATTCAAAACAACAATATTTTGGAATATAACGATCAAACAAAAACAAACAAAATTTAATCATCGGATATATTATATACACAAAATGATAGGTGAACAGAATAAAAAGATGAAAAGGTATACACTACCGGAAAAATACACATTTACATATACATGATTTTTTTTCTTATTTACTTTACGAAGAAAAAAAAAACGAAAGAAAAACAAAACCTGAGTACTTTCTTTCATATGATAAGATGATTGATTTCACTATTTAATTAAATTATTCATTATTCTAATAAAATGTATATATTTTGTGGAAGAAAATCTTCTGTGTATTTGTTTTAAGAAATAATATCAATAATTTCATGAAAAACTTTTCGTTAGTTACACTTGATGTGGACCACTAAAAATAATAAAAAAGAAATTCAATGAATTATATTGAAAATGAATATTTAAATATTAACCTTACCGACGATAAGATGTTTTCTATACAAAAAAAAGACAAATATATATATATGTTGATTATCATAATTCTAAAGAAAGAAAATTTTTACCTTCGTTTCATTAGGAATGATTTGTTCGTTATCATGTTGAATAGAATTATCATCAATAGTTGTTGATGATACTTCTTTAAGGAAATTCGATGGAACAAGACCTTTTGTTCCATTCGGTAATTCTCCAAGATAAAATCCATCATCGTGAACGGTACCATGGACATAAATAGTATCACCCGAACGAAATGATAATTCTTCATCTGGATTTGCATTTGGAGAAGTTTCAGTTGGATTATAATCAAACATGGCAATCATTTTTTTAATAGATTGTGTAGAAGGTTTAACATTAGATGGATTTGCTCCAGGTGATATTCGTTTTGATGCTGGTACTGGCGCTGCTGCTGCTGTTAATGGTGGTGCTGCTGCTGCTGTTGCTGACGTTCCTAAATAAAGAATAATTTTACAATTAGGAAAAAAATCCTTCTTTTTCTTACCTATTATACGATTGGAATTTTCTAAATTAATAGTACCAGCAAGTAAATGTGCTTCAATTTCTGCATCATCAAGTTGTATTTCCGAAACCATATTACTTGGTACAAAACCAGAACGACCATTTTCTGTTTGACCTACATAAAAACCATCAGCATCTTGATCACCATAAATCTATGAATGATATATATAAATATAGAAAATATTTTAAAAATAAATGTATCTTACTCTAATTAATTGTCCTTCTTTAAATGGTAATTCTTCATCATTATCTTTATTAGGTGACATAGCATTTGGATCATAATCAAATAAAGCAATAAATAAACGTGGTGGTGCATGATTTGCTTTAATTAAATGACTATTCATTATTGGAGGCGGTTGTGTTGTTTGTGGTATTGATGTTGTTTGTTCTTTTATTTTAACAGGTTTCATTGGTGTTGGAGTCATATGTTGTTCTTCAGATGATGTTGATGTATGTCGTGGTGATGATATTTTTGCTTTATTTATATGTGGATTACCATTGATGGGTGTAGCTGATGATCGTCTTCCATCTGAATGCTCACGTGTTCTAATTGGTGATATAGTTGTGGATGTTTTTGAAGGTTTTCTTTGTGTATTAGGTGATTTGATATGTGTTGAAGTTTCATCTTGTTGTTTTATATATGCATCATAACCGAAACGTTGTGATGGTTGTTCATGTTGATCACGATTACCATTTTTTGATTTAATATTCGATGTAACTACAGGACTATTGGGACTTGGAGAATTAATTTCAATTTGTGGTACATCAGTATTCATTGATGAAGATCTCGATGGTGATTGTATTGGTGTTACACCACTTGGTCTAGTAGATGACTTTGATATTGGACGCATTTTATCGGGATATGGTGTTGAAGCTTTTATTGGTGGTGATGGAGTATTAGTTGTTGTTGTTGGTTGAGAAATGATTGTGGAAGGTTGTCGTACTGGTTGAATATTCGTTGTTGTTGTTGTTGTTGTTGTTGATTGTGGTGGCGGCGTTGCTTCTTGTGGACGTGATACCTAAGAAAAAACAAATTTGATTAATAGATAATATAAGAAGAATATAGAAACCTTAGATTGTGTTTCGATAATTGGTTGTGGTGGCGGTGGTGGTGGAAGAGAAGGTGGAAGTAATGGTTGTTGTGGTTGTAGTTGTTCAGAATTCGTCATATCATCATCTGATGTTGTTCTTAATGTTATTGAAGATGATGCAGTAAGTGGTATAGTTTCTTTTTCAAATGGTTCTTCTGGAACAATTGGTACTATCGTCGGTGGAATATCCATATCCAACTAAATAAGAAAAAAAAGTAAATTAATTAATAAAAAAAAGAAAACTAATTCAATACTTTTTTTAATATTTCATCAAGATCAATTGGAGTTGAATCATGTGATTCACCATCATTTTCTGTTAATGTTCGTACTGTTAGAAATCTTCCGTGATGTAATGTATTCATATTGATGACAGTATGATCATCTATAATCAAAGAATATAGTTTTTAAAAGCAATTATTTATAATTTCTTACTTAATGGATTTGTTATATCATGTAATTGTCGTCCATCAACAAGAACTCGATATCCACGAGCTGTTGTTGTTGTTGACGATGGTTGTTCCCAAGATATAAGTAAAGTATTTGCTTGTGGCCCAGCAATAACTTGTACACGTTTTGGTGGTTCAATTGATTCATCTAGAAATATAAAAAACAAAAATTATTTATTTATTTAGAAAAAGTCTATTTTTTTTACCAAATGATGTTGTACGAAATTCAATTGAAGCTGCTAATTGTTGTTGAGCATTGGTTACATTTGTTGGTTTAGCTTTAATTGTTACTTTATGTACTGTATTTGGTATTAAACCAGATAATTTAAATCGATAAACACCAGCTTTAAGTGTTTGAACATCAATATCATTAACAAATAATTTATGAACAATATCATTAGATGCTGGCCACCAAGAAACAACTGCTGATGTTTGATTTATACGATCAATACGTAAATCACTTGGAGCATAGGATAAATCATTTGAATTTCCATTTGCACCCGACATTGTTAATAATAATGTACATTCTTGATCACGAGATAAACCACGTTGAGTTATTGTACGTATACTTATACGATGAAGTTTTTCATTTAAATTTATATTTTCAATTAATGCTCGTGTACGTTCATTAACACGTACTGTTGTATGCAATGAATGATCAAGTAATACTTGATAACCAAGAATTTGTATTGGTGATGATGGAGGATTCCATGCAATTAAAACACTATTAGTTAAATATTTTTCAACACGAAGATTTGTAGGACAAGGAACTAAAAACAAAAAAAATGAATTTTGTTTTTCTTCTTAAATAGATTTAATTATTTTATTTTTACCATGTTTACCAAAAGAAAGACCATTCATAGTTGAACTATCTAATGACGTTGCATTTAATGTAGGTGTTACTAAATGAAAGAATAAATTTGTAATTAAATATCTAATTATATATATATATATATTACATTGTTTTCGATATGCAGCTGACACATTAATCGATGTATTGGAATTAAACATATCAGAATCTTTATTTAATGGTTGATCACGACGAGGTGAATTTGTTTCATCTAGAGAAATATGAAGAATAAAAAAAGAATGATTAAATAAAAATTTCATTTTACCAGTAAGTATTTTTCCAGTTAATCGTTGAATTATATGTCGAACTGTTTCGGGTAATTCATGTGGATTTGTTACTGGTTCAATAAAATTTGATGGTATTAAACCATATCGTCCTTCTAAATTTCTTCCATCAAAAAATCCATCCTAAAATAAAGAAACATTTATATTTAATTTTTATTTTTCATTTATTATTTATATGAATAAATATTTTATTACTTCATCAACTTCACCATAAATAAGATAATAGTCTCCAATATTTAATGGTAATTCAACTTCTGGATGATCATTTGGAGAAAATTGTAATGGTTCATAAGAATATTTTGCTATAACTATTAGAGCTGTTTGATTATTTGGATAGGATTTAGTTTTTATTTCTTGATTTTCAGTTTGATGTATTGATTGACTACCCGTTGATTTAACTAATGGTCGTTGTTGAATGGATGGAGGTGGTAGTGTTGGTAGTTGTGGCGCTTGCAATAATGGTATTGAAGAAATAGTGTCATCCGTTGGTGACGTTTGAGAATCAACCATCATTGGCATAGGCCAATGATGCGGTGATGGTAATGGGCTAGAAGAATTATTTGAAAGCATTACTCCACTTGATTGTGGCAATATTCTATCACGTCGTGCTTTTAATGATTCAAATTCTAGAAGAATTTCTTCATGTTTCAATGATTGCAATTCAGTTTTACGCTCAAGATCATGAATTTTATCCTAAAGATATAATAAAAAAAAACACAAGATTATATATTAACATAAAATAATATGAATACTTCAAGTAAATGAATTGTATCTTGATGTTCTCGTTTTGTTATATCATGCATCTAGAAGAAAAAAAATGAAGAGAAAATATTTCTTTTCTTGTTTTTTTCATTTTTCGATATAAAACTAACTCTTTGAAATTGTTCGAAATCATCTTGTTTTCGTTTTAATTCTAATTTATTAACTTCATGTTCAACAGTTAACGTTTTTTGTAAATCATGTGTATCATGTAAAGATTTAATTAATGATTCTAATTCATGCACTTTAGTTATTAATTGTTCATTTTCATGTTGTTTTATATCACATTCATTAGATTTTGTTGAAATATTTGAACGAAATCGATCACATTCTTCATTTAACTATTCAATTGAGAGAAAAAGAAAATGTGAATCAATCGTTATTTAATGATTTTTATTAGTTATTTTTTTCACGACCTATTATGCATTTTTATGAATACATAAAGTCATCACTAACCCGTTCATTAGTATTTGTTGCATTGCTAATTTCTGTGCGCATTTGCGTGTTTAGCATTGAGGCACTCTCAAGTTCTTTGATCTAGAGGGTAAAGAAAATGTATCTTGAGAATAGAAATAAGAGAAACAGAGACAAAAAGCAAAATGAGGAAGAAAAAAGATGAATGGTGTAGTGCAAGTACTTACAAGCCGAGAATTTTCTTTGTTCAGATTTGCTAGTGCCATTCCATGATCGTCGGATTTTTTCTGCTGTTGACGTTAGAAGAAAGAGAAAAAAAAAAGAATAGAATAGGATGAAAAAAAAAAAGAAAGGAAAAAAGAGGATGGTTTTCTACATCATGCAATCATGAACAGGTCGGTCTCCTTCGCGCCACTAAGAACGAATAAGGCGGGCAACCAACCAAACAAGCTAGTTCTCTCAATTCCAGATATATGATCCTTATTTCTTTCTCCTGTCTATCTCACCCTTATTTTCCACGCCTTTAGCACTTTTCTTCTTTTGAATATTATATGTATTTATGGTGTACACAGGACTTACGCTGAGTTGAATTTCCGCTTGTAATCGCTCAACAGTTGTCTGTAAATCTTGACAACGATCTTGTACAGCTTGCATTGTTAAAAGATCATTTTCTAGTTGTGTTTTTCTTAAATCAATTGCTTGAAATGTTTCTCGTTCTTCATTATATTTTTGTTTTAATGATTGTAAATCACGATTTTCTATTTGAAGATATTTTATTTCATCTAAACGTTTTTTAAGTATAGTTTCATGAGTTTCTTTCATTTGATCTTTTTCTTCATGTAATAATTCATTAGCTGTACGTAATTGTTCATTATCTAAACGAAATTTTATATTTTCATCATTCAGATGTTTTATATCATTTTCATAACTAAGTTGATTTTGTAGATATTTTTCTTTTAATTCAGTATAATTTTGTTTTATTTCATTATATTGATTTAATGATTCATCAAATTGACGACGTAAATCCGCTTGTTCAACTAAACGTGTACGATCTCGTGTTTCAAGTTGTGTTAAACGTGTTAATTCATTAAGTAAATGTTCATTTTGACTTTTTAATTGTTCATTTTCACGTATACAATATTCAGAAGATGACTTGTCATTTTTATATATTGTTTGTAATTCATTAAAACGTTCTTCAACATCTGTTAGATGTCTGTACTCATTTTGAAGATGTTTATATGCCTCTTGAAGCTCAGCATATTGTTGAAGCTATAAAAAGAAGAAATATAGTTTTCCTAGCTTGTCTAATGTCTTGTCTCGTTAATGAAAAAAAACAGATTTATAAGATTAAGTCAAAGAAAAATGAGAAAAAGCGGCTTAAATAAACTTGACATTTTTTGTCTTTTAAATAATGGAAGTAGGATAGACTTTCTAACATTGAAAAGACAAAAAAGGTAAAATAAGAAAGATGAGGATCTATAAACCTGTAATTTGAGTTTTGTGTTATTATCTTCATCGGCGCGTGCCAAACGATGTACTTCACTTTTTAGCGCTTCATTCGTATCTTGTAATGCTTGATAATGAAAAGGATCTATAGAGGATGTAGCTGATGAATCAGTTCTTGAGCGAGTGCTTGATGTTGTTGCTGTTGTTGTGTATTGTTGTTGTTGTTCACCAGCACTTGTTGATATATTAGTATTGGATGGCTAAAAGACAATAAAAAAAACAAGGGTAATAAAATAAAAATAAATAAAATAAAAATGAAATATATATCTATCTAACCTGTGACGGTGTCTGTTGTATATTTTGTTTTGATGATCGTACATCACGAATAAAACCGGTAAAACGAGGAGACGATGAACTCGTCATAATTATTATTGTTATTTATTTTACGCTCAAAAGAATCAATCTGTACTCTTTTTCCTATTCCCTAACTATCGCTTTATTCTCGTGGTTCAGTTAAGTTTGATACTACTACATACACACACACATATACACACACATACACGAGCGTAAATAACTAATATGATTATCTATAGGAAAGAGAAGAGTCTTCTGCAACCGGTAGTGATGTGGTAAAAAATATTCTCATTTTTTTTTCTTTGCAACGGCAAGAGAAAAAGAGAAGAAAAAAACGATGGAAAAAAATGGAAAAAAACAGAACAGAACGTTAGCCATAGAAATAGTCAGAAAAAAATAGAGAATGTTCATCGACTGAACGCAGACTCGTTCGAGCGCGTGCCGATGAAGATGTCTTTGTATTTGCACTTTTTTCTCTCTCCGTTCTCTGTCTCTCTTCCTCACATGTCTTTCTTAGAATATGAGAAAGATTAAAAGAATGACGATAGGCAAGAAAAAGAAATTAATAAGGCAAGAAAAACTATCGAACTGATTCGATAAATAAGAAATTTGCTTTTGAATATACTTATGCAAAAATTCTTGTTTGTTTTTTCTTCTTCTTCTCCTTCTTCTTTTTTTTTCTTTCTATCACGGAAATCGATCGAATAACAATATGAAGTAAAAAGACGTCTGTCTACCTAAGAGACAGCCAATAATGTAGAAGACAAGACAGTTTCCGTCATAATTTCAATAGGATGCTTGACAACTTACGCCTATATTTGTTATCGAGTTTGATGATGTCGTTGTTGTCGTAGCTATCAAACGTCGTTCGAGATATAATTTTTCAATGTTAATTTGACATAATGCTGATGCAAGATTCGACTAAACAAATTCTATTAGTGTTATATATTCAAGTAAGAATTTTTATTTCACGATTACCTTTACCAATTGTTTGAGTTGATGATTTAATCGCTCAATTTCTTCATTTTTTTTTGTTAATAATTTTTGATATTCAACTGCATCTTTACTAGCTTGTTTAGCTAAAGCTCGTTTAATTAATTCTCTATCATGATCTTTCTAAATATAAAGAATATTTTAATTGTTATTCGTATATTAAATTTATATTTTTTTTTCTTCAAATAATACCGGTTGTTCACGTCTAAGTATTTCCAATGTTCTCTCAAATCGTTGTAGACGATCATCAAGTTCAACAATGTCTCTTTCTGCTGTTTGTTTTTGTTCATCATATATATATTGATTCTAATTTTTTTAAGAACAAAAGAAAATATGAATAATAACGTATAATCAATTTTGAAAAATATATATAAAAAAAAAGAAAATCCCCTATAGGTTTCAATTCATTATTGTCCCATAACTCATCAATAAGAGTCACTTGACAAAAACTCATTTTCATCAAGTAAAAATGGAAATAACTTAAAAAGAATAAAAAGATATTGATTATAGTTAACGAATATTGTATATGAATAGCAAACATTCATTATATCATATTTTTTGCTTATTTAAAAAAACTAATTCTATAAAAATCTTGTCTTATCTATGAAACAAAAACAGGAAATTCATTTTTTTTTGCACATGTTCAGTTTTTGTTTTATATTGCAGAACATATTTTTTCTATAGTTAAAAGTAAAACTACTAAAACGCTGATAAAAATTTTGTAAAAAAAAAAACACAAGAACAAAACTGAGTTAAGTGGATTAAAGAAAAATTAGCTTGAATAAATATAAACAACAAGAAAAAGAAAACAATAAGTTCACATTGTAACTGAGACAACAAAAATATATGTAGAATATTCCACTAAGAGAAGGAATGCTGTTATAGCACATATTATTATTTTTATTCATCGGTTGATTGTTGTTTTAAATAAGCGATTAAATCTTTTCGCTCGTCTTCTTTCTTAAGTCCAGCAAACACCATTTTTGTTCCAGGAATATATTTCTTTGGATCTTTTAAATATGTCCAGAGTGTATCACCACCCCATTTAATATCTTTGTTTTTATTAGCTTCACTATAATTGAAGCCTTTAACTGAACCAGTGTGTCGACCAAATACATTATGTAGATTAGGGCCTTGTTTATTACCACCACCTTCTTCGGCGCTATGGCATTGAGCACATTTTTGTTTGAAGAGCTTAGCTCCTTTTTCTGCATCACCACCTTCCCATTCACCACCACCACCACCAGATGCTCCACCTTTGTCACCACCTTTGGCACCGCCTTTGTCTCCACCCTTATCACCACCTTTGTCTTCACCCTTATCACCACCTTTGTCTCCACCCTTATCACCACCCGATTTAGTGTCAGCTCCTTTGTCTCCACCTTTACTACCACCTGATTTAGAATCACCACTTGATTTAGTATCACCACCCTTAGCTCCGCCTTTATCACCGCCGCCTGATGCACCTCCCTTGGCTCCAGCTTTGTCATCACCACCTTTAGCTCCGCCTTTATCACCACCGCCTGAGGCACCTCCTTTAGCTCCACCTTTATCATCACCACCCTTAGCTCCACCTTTGTCACCACCGCCTGATGCACCACCTTTATCTCCACCAGATTTACCAGCATCACCTTTTGCACCACCTGCACCACCAGCTTTATTATCTTTATCAGCTGCTTTTGAGTCACCACCACCACCAGATTTTCCACCGCCTTGTTTTGCATCGTCTCCAGCCATTTTTGTTAACTTAAGTTTTGAGTTTGCGTGTGATTTATGTGTACGGGTTAAATAAGTGTATTAATCGTAAATACTTATATTTGTCGAAATGTGAATGGACAAGAAGAAAAAACAATGGAGAAGAACGAGCGAAGAAAAAAAAAGAAAATGTTCTCGATTCAAGGGCGTTAACTTCAATGATTCATGTATGAATCGATAGTGGAAAGAGGACGCACCAAGGTAACTGATACATGTAATGGCGCATGTAATGGAGAATGCGCACGCGCATAGAAATAAAAAGCATTTTTTTGACTTACTGTTGACATGACAAGATCAGGATGACTACTTCGTAAAACTTGAACAGGTGCAATTTTTTTATTTCCATTTGTCCAAACATCATTAAGAGTATTTCCTACTGACCAGGTTTTTAATTGTTCAATATCATATGATAGTTCACCAATACGTTGATCACGTTCAAGCAATTGTCGTTGTAAATAACATACAAGATCTTTTTGATCTTCTTTACAAAATATGCTTAATTCATGTTCATATTGTAGATGAAGTTTCGTAATTTTAGCTGATTTATCAAGATCAGATTTTGATTTAGCCTAAAACAAGATATTGCATATAAAAGTAAATTTAATAAGATTGAATTTTATTTATTTGATGTCTGTACGCCTACCAAAGGCAAATAAATAAATATATATATGGATATATACAAAGCAATCACTACTAATTTAAACGATACACGAGTCGATCAATTAAGTCAATTTTTTTTGTGTGTACTTATATGTATGCGTGTGTCTATGTGCATATTCATATGTATACAGGCATAAAAAGACAATTAAAAAACGAAGGACAAAGAAAGCAAAAACAAATACATATTAATCAATAAGTTTTGTTAATAAGAAAGAGAAATAAATAAATTAAAATTTATTAAACTTACTTTATAAAGTGTTTCCAACTGATTTTTAGCTTGTTTTATTGTTGATAATTCACGTTTAAGTTTATCAACTAAATTTAATAGTACTATAGTTGAATCATCATTTGGAATAGTATTTGTATCATCATTAATATTTAAACCAATTGTATTCACATTACTTTTACATGATGTTTCTGATGATGTTGAACATGTTTCAGATTCTGATCCTGATGAAGTTGTTGTTATTGTAGATATATTGATTGTTTGGGACTGAGAATGATGATTAAAAAGTGTCCTCGTAAGATTCACTGTTTTTATCATTTTTATGATTAATTTTCAATAATTATGATTGTTTTATAAGACATGCTGTACATTGAATGCATACCACACGAAAAGAGAGAAAAAAGAGACTGATGGAGAACATTGTCTGCCAGTAAATTCATTCATATATATGTTCTTCTTGGTTGAATGAAAAAAAAATGCGAGAAAGAACGAAGTAGGGGACGACAAGCGAAGAAATTGATCAGGTTCGATGTTAAAATGAGAACCGTAACAGAAAAAAAACAGAAACATGTAAAGAATAAAAAGAAAAAAAAAGGATTCACCTACTGTAACAATTTTCTAAAAGTATGGGACACATGCAATGATGACAGTAGTGATAATGCTAACATTTGAGTGAGGAAAAAAATAGAATAGTTCTCATCAACAAGTATAATTAATGGGGAACCAAACAAAAGACAAATGAAATTGTAGGTGATAGATATATATGTATGGATTCGTACAATTTATTAAAGAATACGAAACCTCATTTGACTAATGACTTGACTACGAAATACAATACAAAAACGATTAAAGAGCACATGGTAAAACAACTCTTGAGTAAAGTTTATTGGTATGACCATTGAAGGTCATTACCTTGAATAGACTCTTGTATGAACAAAACCAACCGGAGGACATTATATATGTATGTAAATAGATGCGATCAGTGAAATTGATACCACATCATATTTCTTTTTTCTTTCTACTTCCGTTACATATTAATTTGTATGTAATGAAGAGCTTATACTCGATATTTTCAACCATAGTGATACTATTCATTTATCAAGTTTATCAAAATAATAGAATAACAAGTAATTAATTAATAAAAAAAGAAGACGATGGATATATCTATGCATATCAAATTTTAAGTAACACGAGATAAAAGAAGCAAGAATCTATGATGAGCTTATACATATTGATATATTTTTATATTAAAGTGTCCAGAGCGTGATGAAATGATTCAATCAATCCATTGAATTTTTATGTTATTATGAATAATAGAATTTAACTAACATATTTTAATAAAAGATGCTAAGTTATCATTGTTCATGTTTATTTGAGTAGACATGTATTAGTAGAATATTAAATACACTTCAGATGATTTTAAAAGGTTTTAATCGGATGATTGAATTTTTCTTTTCGTTCGCTCGCTCGATGAATTATGATAATATACTTTAAAATTATAATTTGTTAATAAGTGAACGAATTGAAATCTAATAAAACATCCTCAATACATTTTAAAATGAGATCATAATGCTATTTTTCATTTCTCTATTTCTTAAAATAAATCTTCTTGTTTTCATTTTTAAACTCTATCAATGTAAATTGGCGCTACTAGCAATGTATCAGAGAAAATGATTGATCAATGAACTTGTACAAGAATATTATTGTCTATGCACAATCTAATTATAAAAAAAAAATTTTGAATTCATATAGATTCTGAATGAAAAGAATCGTGTCACATGTAATTAACATAAATCAATACTGAAACTTATAATTATACTAGAGAATGGTTTCATTTTTGAACATTCAATATAATTGACTGAATTATTTATTTCATATGTCAAAATTTATACATTAATTTTAGATAAATAATATATATATAAATGATTAATCAGACAATGAAACGTTCAACATCAATGGATGATGATTCAATATTTCCAACTTCAATTCATTCTTCATCAAATTTATTAACGCGTACAACAATACGTGAAGCAAATAATCATTTACAAATGTTATATACACATAATCAAGAATTAAAACAAATAGTAAATGAACAAAAAATAATAATAGAACAAAAAGATTTTGAATATAATAAACTATTAAAATCAAACAAAGCAGTTGAACGACATTGTCAACAATTACAAGCTTTACTTGATGATCGAACTCGACGTTTATATGTCTATGAACGAAAAGAAGTTTTATTTCGAGAAACATTTAAACTAAAACCAGCTATGGAATTATTACTTGATATATTAAATACATATGAAAAAGTAGATAATACATCATTATCTATTCCAATGAATACTAAGCCACTTCAATTTGTACAAGCATCTGATAAAAAGAATAATAATGATGATGATGATGTTACATGTCAGATTAATGCAGTTTGAATCAAATATGTGAATAGTAAATAAATTTCCATTGAATTGACTTTCTTGTCAGATTCTTATTTCATTTCTAATTATATAATAATAATCATATCTTCTAATTTTTACTCTTTATCTCTACAAAGATAGATATATATTAATCATTGAATTATTCATCGACGTAAAACAACAAGCTGTTACTTATTTACAACTAGAATCTGTAGAAAGATGACAATAATAGTTTGTTACATTTGTTTGCAGGCTTTTTTATTACTTAAAAAAATAATCCGACATCGTTCCTTTATAATTTAATGTATACATTTTACTATTATAAATTGTCAAGAAATGTAAATATAAAATGTTATTTTTTTAACATACACCTTTAAGTAAAAATTTTTTTCTCTGTCAATAATTTCTTGTCATTTCTCAAGTATTGCCAAAGAAATATGGCTAACTTCAAATAGAAAAAACTACTGTATCAAAATTTAGTTTTTATCGAAAATATCCTTTTGACGCTTTACATTGGCTATATTTTAAAATGTTTAGAGATTATATTTGATCTTTGACCACCAAAATGGTTTTGTTTTAGTATTTATTTGAGTTTATTCATGAATTATTTAGCAACTATACACGATAATAATATAATTATGAGCATATATACAAAACCAATGGAAGCAACTTGTTTCTTTTCTATTGATTTTTTGACAGAACGAAGTGTTAAATTTATTTAATCCATTATCTGTAGTCAGACAAATCAATAATTTATTTTAATATATTCTATTAACTTCATATTCTTTTATGGATGAACTATTGTATTATTATTTTCTTTTAGCTTCAGTACAAAATAATATTTATTAACAAAAAGAAAAAAAACAAAAAAATACATTAGATAATAATGTGTAATGCGCAAGCAACAGGTTCATGTATTGTCATTATATGACCATAACCGCCATATTCTCTTTGAAGCCAAGACTGAAAAATTATGCATGAGCCTTGATTGTGAAAAACAATCTTAAACTCTTCAAAAGGTTGATATATTGAATTTGGATCTGCAATTTACCGAATAACTATTGGCGTATTTGATCTATTCTCTCCTTCCGTTCGTACTAAAAAATATATGAAAAAACAAAATGAAAGAATAAGTTTTGATGCAAAAATTTTTACTTACTGCTAATTGCTATTAGCGCATCATATACATGTGCACGATCGATGTTGCTTAAAGCTTGTGTGAACGAGAATCGAAAAACAATCATGTTCCTATTATCGTAAGAATTTTCTTCAGAATTGTCGTCACTCTGGATATTGTGTTTGTATTCGCCTAGAAAAAAAATCTATGTACAGAAATGTTCAGGGATTACCACGACTACTATTCCTTTGTTCACTGTATTCTGGTATTAACTCGATGAGTCATCAGATAGAAGACATGCCTAGATTTGTTGATTCATGTTTTGGACCATTTGTTTCATGTTTTGGAGCGGTTAATATAATGTCGGGTAAAATAACACGTGGATCATCAGATGAAACACCGAACAGGAATTTTTCCTAATTTGAACTGAGTAAATAAATAACATGAAGCTGCCTGTGATAACTTGTATCATTAACAATCGTTACATTGCGTTTTCGCAAAATAAAACTTAAGTGATTGGAGTTAATCTCACAATCTTCATTAGATTGTGCACGTAGATTAAACAATGATGATGAACATTCACTTGTTGAATGTATTTTCAAAATAGGTAAGGATTGACATTGATCATAACTAATAAATCTTTGGACCGAATTACAAGATACTTTATCAATAAACGATTGATTAATATCAATTGAGTTCAAACATGAATTAAGCATAAATGAACATATTCTGTTGAGATAATTCATAAAATGATTGTTGTCGACTAAGACAACTTGAGATATTTGAGGAGTTAACATTGTGCAACGCCAAGCCTCGACATTTAAATCAGACGTCATATTATTAGGCGAATCAATAGTTGAAATCAGTGTGCTTATCTAGAAACATAAAAGAACAAATAAATATGGTGACCGGACAGAATATCGCAGAACAAATGCTCGCGGACATATCGTTGCATGGACAAAATTTTGCAACGATAGGCTTGAGGGTGTGGGTATGGGGTGGGTGGGCGTGGGTGTGGCATAAAGAAATATACAGACCAACATCTACAATGGGTAAAGATTATGATGATTATTGTTTCGAGACTACTAAAACGATGAGGATCTCTCCAAAAGTTTATCATGTTTTCATTCTCTGAAAAAAATCTTTTTGTTAGGTCTCATCGTATATGTACACATAGCACAAAAAAAGAAAAATCAATCTTACCGGATGATGGCCAATAATGATGATATAGATAACATAGATGGCTACGGATGAGAATAAGAGTGAGGAAAAAGATGAGGATAATGATGTAGCTAGTTTATTTATGTAAAGAAATAAACAAAAGAAGGGAAAAAATAATAGTAGAATTCAAATAAATACGATATTAGGTAATAAAAATTCTACTATCGAAAATAGTCTGCAGCTATTAGTAAGTATACAAACCAAGTTTGATACATAGATAAGTAGCCAGTCCATTGTAAAATAAATATCTTCATAAAAATACTAATCAACTCTTACAATGGCTTAAAATATTTATTTAGACAACTTCAAAAATAACCAGCAGTATTAGAGTAATTTGTTCATTTTGTGCCTTGTCATCGACAAAAACAATTAGTCATGGATATAGATCAGTTCTTGTTACTAGATCGTATCCTTACATTCTAGGGAAAAACTATATGGTAGTTACTGACATGATCACTCACAATTATTAGATATCTATTCGAATTAAACTGCAATGTGTTTAACTGAATCATTTATGTATTTACCAATTACGAATTTCATAGTTATTTCACTATGACAACTAATTTCATAGTTATTTCACTATGACAACTAATTTCATAGTTATTTCACTATGACAACTAATTTCATAGTTATTTCACTATGACAACTAATTTCTTCAATATTCTAGACAAGTCATTGATGATCAAACAAATTCTTATTGTAATCAGATCGTGGATTAGTAATTATATTTGGTTACCTAAGCTAGCATTCTATAATTGCTTATCATAAGTATTAAATTCAGCAGCACCATTTCTGAGAATTTTTAATAAGTATTATGAAATTGTTCTATTCAATATTTGATTAAACAAATTTAAAAACATTTTTTTTCACTCATAAAACATATGAATAAAATGTCATTGTTACATTAGTGCTCTATATCTAATCATTTTTTTTTCATATGGAAAACATGCATTTATTGATGAAAATAATAGTTCATGATATAATGATCATGAGTTTTGGTCACTCAGTATTCAAACTGTATATAATAATAATGAGTGCATAATACTGATTTTGATGTCATTTTATGTTGTATTAATAATTTATTATTGACTATATATTAATCATTGTAAATACTGAGACAAGATATATATAAACTTCGATAAATTTTCAATAAATGATGATGTTTGTTTGTTATTATTATTATCATAATTATAATAATAATTGAAATTGAAAAATAATTTATTTTAATATATTCTATCGACGTCATATTCTTTTATGAATGAACTATTGTATTACAAGTATGATATTGTTTGAAAACAAGTTTAGTTCATAGACGATTCAATTCAGATGTTTGATCAGACTAGCCTATCATATCATCTAAATTTATTATTTTATTTTGGCTTCAAGATTAGCTGATGTAGGTTTATTCACAAAAAGAAAAGAACAGTGCAACAAAAAAAGTTAGACAATAATATGCATTGCAAATGATACAGGTTCTATAATAGTTAGAACATGTTGCCATCCAAGGAATTGTTTACTTAACCACGCCTGAAAAGACAAGTAACACGCTTGACTATAGAAACATATTGAAAAATCCTCGTCTGCCATATGAACCAAGTTGGGATGGCCTATTGCACGAATATAAACTGGCGTATTATTTCGAATATCTGTAGCTGAGCGGGCTAAAAGTTGAAGAAAAGAATAAAAGATTGAATTTTATTGAAAAGAAATATTAACTTACTACTATATGCTAATAATGCATCGTATACGTGTGCGCGATCTACTTTATTTAAAGCTGCCGTAAATGAAAATTAAAATATTGCCATATCTTCGATATTGTCGTCCTTATCTGTGGATGCGGGTGTCGGTATGGGTGTGGGTGTAACATAAAGAAATATACAGACCAACATCTACAATGGGTAAAGATTAAGATGATTATTGTTTCTAGACTACTAAAACGATGACAATCTTTTCAAAAGTTTATCATGTTTTCATTTTCTGGAAAATATTTTTGTTAGGTCTTATCGTATATGTGCATACAGCGCAAAAAAAGAAAAATCAATCTTACCTGATGATGACCCGTAATGATGATATAGATATGTAGATGGGTCAGGATGGGAATGATAGTGAGGGAAAAGATGAGGATAATGATGTAGCTAGTTTATTTATGTAAAGAAATAAACAAAATAAGGGAAAAAGAATAGTAGAAGAGAGGAAGTGATATAGGGATAGCTAGACAAAAAGAGTAAGTGCTACTTATTGAAGCAAAAGATTAACTGAACTGTGTTCAGATATACTGAAGTGAAACAAAAAGTGGGGAAAAATATATGTAGAGAGAGAAAAAAGAAGCAGTATGAAAAAGAATAGAATATTTCTAGCCAAGGATAATGAGATCATTCCCAGTGTAGGTTAACGTTGTCAAAAATGACAAGGAATATAGTTTACAACTAATTGAAATATCACTTAAATTTCATGTTCACTAATTAGTGATCAACAAGCATGTTGTCAAACTAGTGTAATTCATCAAATAATAGACCATATAAAAAAAGCTTCTTTTAACTTATGTAATTCATCAAATATTTGATCATACAAAAAAAAGCTTTTCCCAACTTGTGGATTCTTAAATAACAAAGACTAATTAACAATGTTTTGCTTTGTGAAAACAAAGAAAATCATTATTTGCCGCGAACTAGTTCGATGTTTGTTCTTCATAGCAACATCAAAAACAGGGTTGCCAAATGGGGGCGCCACAGTCAACGCCATCTCCTGATTTCCCTGGTTGTTTCACGTTGACTGTAGCGATTCATTTGGCAACCCTGATCAAAAAGCAGTTAAAGAAAAAACCAACGTTTCGCAAGGAAGTAGACACTTATAAAAAGAATTGTTTTTGATGATTACTTCACTAATAAACTTTACACAGTAATTACAATTCAAATCATTCACACAGTCAATAATGAGCAGCAGACAATCAACAACAAATGCATCTACAATTGTAAAAGATGCAGAAGGTCATTGATGTATCAATATCCAACAGGTACAAAATTACGACGTGCTGTTAAAGACATCAAGATATACTCAAATGGCGATCAATGTTTTGAATTCATTCAAACCATCGTTGACAAAAAAGTATGTATGATTATATCTGGATCACTTGGGCAGCATATTGTGTCTCGTGTACACAATATGTCTCAAATTGATTCAATATTTATCTTTTGTGGTAACAGAAAATATCATGAACAATGGACCACAGATTGGCCCAAAATAAAGGGTGTGTTCACATATATTACATCCATCTGTGAAGCACTCAAGGAGGTTGCTCTTCAATGTGAGCAAAATGCTATTCCCATAAGTTTCATGGAAACAAATAAAAAGTTGGATCAATTAGATCCTTCTTTTATGTACACACAAATCATCAAAGAAATACTACTGACCATTAAATTCAACCAAAATCACATACAAGATTATCTTAATTATTGTCGTGATGTCTTTGAAGGTAATAAAGAAGAAATCAAGAATATTAAACGATTAGAAGGTGAATATCACAAACGAACACCCATTTATTGGTACACATGTCAAATGTTCTTATATCCCATGCTCAATCGGGCATTACGATTGATGGATGGTGATATCATTACACGTATAGGTTTCTTAATTGGTGATTTGCATCGACAGATTGAACAACTACACCAGAAACAATATGCTGGTGCAAGTGCTGCTAACACCTTCACCGTTTATCGTGGTCAAGGTTTATCTACAGAGGATTTTGAAAAAACTGATGAAAATCAAAGGTGGTCTTATTTCATACAATAACTTCTTATCTACTAGTACGGCTCGCAAAGTTTCACTGGGTTCTGCTCGAGATATTGGAAGAAATCCAGATCAAGTCGGTATCCTGTTTATCATGAAAATTAATCCTGGCTAATCAACAACACCATTTGCTTCCATCGCTGGTATTAGTGACTTCGAAGAAGAAGAGGAAATTTTATTTTCGATGCATAGCGTATTTCGTATCCAGGATATTAGACACATGGCTGGAAGTAATCGTTTATATGAAGTTAACTTGGTACTGACTGCTGACAACGATCCAGAATTAAGCAGACTTACTGAATACATTAGAAAAGAACGTTGCCCCAACTCTCAAGGGTCGTACAGATTAGGTTCGTCACTATCTGATATGGGTCAATTTCACAAAGCTGAAGAAATTTCTCAAGTTTTACTTGATCAAACAAACGATGATGAGAATAAGGCGTCTATTTATCATCAACTTGGTATGCTCAAACGAAATCGTGGAAAATATGAAGAAGCACATACATTCTATGAAAAATCACTTGCTCTCTATCAAAAAACTCTTCATTCCAATCATCCTGATTTGGCTTCTTCCTATAACAGCATTGGTGCAGTGCATGACAGCATGGAAAATTATCCGAAAGCACTGTTATCTCTGGAAAAAACCCTTAAAATTCAACAACAATTACTTCCTTCCAATCATTCAACTTTACAACAACGAAGAAAGAATCTCGAACGTGTAAAAAATATATAATAAATTGTATTGCTATGAAATTTGTTTTTATGAAATAGAAAAAACAAACCTTTTTAAACGAGAAAAGAATTGTTTTAAATGCGCCTGGGTACAGAGAAACTCTGATGTTGTTGAGACACAAACGGGTGGTAACACTCATCAGTAATATGAACAATACATATCAAGAGACATGTATTGTAGAAAAAGACTTTTACGAGATATAATATTGTGTCTGAACCATCTTGAGGGTGGGTGTGGCTTTGGACTAGGATGATGAATGAAATGAGTATCCAGTTTCATACCCACGTCCATTAAAACTAACACCCACAGCCTTTTCTCGAATGCTTTATTAGAGTAAGTGGGGGTAAATGTATAACGAAAAAAAATGAGTTCACTT